AGCAGAGAACTGGCTGAGACTGATAAGGAGAGGGGTGCCCCACCCTGACTCCTCAGAAAGTCATTCCACTTGGGGGGCCCCCATTACCATTCCTGAAATAGATGTCTTATTTGCCATGTCTCCTAGGGAAGTGGTGAGAATGAGTGAAGTCAGAGATGGGAAATGGAGCATTATGGGGCTCTGAGGCACTAGCTGCAGTCAGCTGCTGTGAAGGCCACAGAACCCCATGAACCTTTCCACCCACTGACAGCCAGGGTCACCCCAGCCAGGGAGGTGGCTGGCTAAAGACCTGGAGCCTGAATCAGACACAGGGAGATGGACTTTTTTTTTCTTTGAGGATGGAGTCTTGCTCTGGCTGGAGTGCAGTGGCACAGTGCAACCTCCGCCTCCCAGATTCAAGCTATTCTCCTGCCTCAGCCTCCTGAGTAGCTGAGATTACAGGCGCATACCACCACGCTCGGCTAATTCTTTGTATTTTTAGTAGAGATGGCGTTTCATCGTGTTAGCCAGGATGGTCTCGATCTCCTGACCTTGTGATCTGCCCTCCTTGGCCCCCCAAAGTGCTGGGATTACAGGCATGAGCCACTGTGTCTGGCCAGGAGATGGACTTTCAATGCCAAATGCATGGTGCCAAGACCCAGGTTTGGACAATCCAGTCCAGTATGTTATAAAACATTTCCCCACTGCTCAGATATTTCCCCAAGAACACATCTCTGAAACTCATCAAAACAAATGGAAAAACAGGTAACTATTTTGCCACTTTGATGATAGGCAAAGTTTTTGCTTAAGAACCAAGTCAGAAAGGAAGAAAGGTGTTTTGGGGGCATTTTTCTCAGTACTTTTTATTGATTCTTACAGAAAAATGTATATTTTTACAACTTGGATTGCTAAGTTTTAAGAAAAAGTGTGTCAATGAGAAAAACACCTCTGCGTTGCCCCTAGATGTTTGATCACCTGGCCCCCCATGTGTGGACTGTTTGGAAGCCAGGGTTTCCTCACGGCGTCTCCGTCACTCTAGGATACACTTGTGGGGCAGGTGCGTTCTGTGTTCAGGGCTCTATTTGTTCCTTTTGTGGGCCCAACTGGGGCTGGGGAGACAGCAGACCAAGGGGCTGCTCCTCTCAACCCCCAACCTGTGCTTGGCCCAGAGGGTCAGGACAGCTGTGATACCCTGGGCAAACCCACTGCTGTTTCCAGTGTGGTTTAGGCCACTGTCCTGTACAGCTCAGAACTGAGCCATGGAGGCAGAGGACAGCAAAACAAAGACACTCCAGGGAAGATGGGCCTGGGTGCCCTGCCCTGCCAAAACCAATCGGGGGGGGGGGGGGGGACACCTGTCCAAGAAGACTCCTGTAGGCCCTGCTTCCTGGTCCCAGTGTTTTGAGAGCTGAAGGCTCAGCAGCCCACCTCTCTGTGGCCTGTGTTTCAGATCGATGGGCTAGAGAAGAAGCTGTCCCAGTGTCGGAGAGACCTAGAGGCCGTGAACTCCAGGCTCCACAGCGGGGATCTGAGCCCAGAGGCCAGGTAATGCTCCTGCCCAGCCACCCCACCCTTCCCGTCAGGCCGCCACCTCTTGTCTCTATCCTGGGTCCCCAAAGTAACTAGGCCTGAGGCAGAGGGTTTGGGTCTCTGACATCTTAGCTTCAATGCCCCGCCCCAACAAGACCTGAGCCCTGCCAACCTGGCATGCCAGCTGCCGCTCAGGTGGGAAAAAGGTAAAGGGTTTGGGCCATGAAACACCTTCCCCTTCACAGGAGGTCCCTGGAGAAGGAGAAAAACAGCCTAATGAGCAAAGCCTCCAACTACGGTAAGAAAGTTCCTGTCAGTTACCAGCCCTAGCCTCCAGTTCCCAGGGCCCGAAGGGATCAGAAGCCCAAGGACCCTGACAAGGCAGCAGGGAGCAAGGGGGTCCTCTGTGAGGGAGCCAGCCTCCAGAGGCTGCAGACACTCATGCCAGGCCCAGCTGCCTGCAGGAGAGCAGGTTTATTCCTTTGTTCTAAGGGAGGATGAGATGGCCTGTGGGTCTGTGCTCTTTGGGATGAAGGGATGTGGCCGTGGCCAGGTCTAGAAGACACTCATTCACCCAGACACTGGAAGTCTGCCCTCCCCCTACCCCAGTGCAGCCTACCTTGCCACACTCTCCCAGGAAAACCGTGCAGTGGAAGTGATGGGTAAAGGAAGCTGAACCTCCCACTTGGGTACCGCAAGGGCTCCTGTGGGTGGAGTGATGCCGCCACCTTCTGGGCGCTGGGGGCAGAGGCAGGTAGAGGCCAGGCCTGGCGGGCTGCTAGAGGGCAGCTGGCAGGCTGGTGGGCTCCCCACTAAAGGCTGGGGAGGACTGTGGTGCTCCTCAGATTTGTCTGTTCTGTTCTCCCCTGGGGGGCTAGGCCTGGCCAAGAATTGGCCCCAGGAAGGCTCTGATGGCAGGGAGCCCGCCAGAAGCGCTGGTCTGATGAATGCCGTAGGCGCAGAGCATACCCACCCACCCTGCCTGGAGTTCAGCATGGCTGGGCCGGTGCACTCTGGGCCCTGGACTCCGTCTGGCCTGCCCAGAGCAGCTCGGCAGGTGTTTCCTCCCACTTCCCAGCACAGACAGGGGTGGGACATCAGTTTCCCTTCAAGTTTTGCAGTTTTCACACAAAACCATACCACTACTCAATTTAGCCCTCACAGAGTACCTACCCCCTACCTGCATGTCACCTGGAGGGGATAATTAGGTACAAGTGGGGCCACAGAGCAGCAGGACTAATTTCCTCTAGAGTCAAGACCAGCTGCCTCACGGACACAAACTGCCTCTTAGCATCCCTAGATTCTGCTCAACCGGGCACCTGACAGAGGGCAGGGACTCAGGAAACAGCCCCACCTGGCACCTACTCCACTTTTGGGCCCAGGGAGCCCTCAGTTTCTGGTTGGTGGATGATGGGCACAACACACCCAACCCCTTGACAGGTGAGCAGACTCACCTGGCAATGTCACACCACCTCCTAGCCTGGCTTTCAGGTGTGGCATTTTTGGTGACTACACCCACCTCATCCTCAACCCCAACCACATTTAATGAGCAAGAGTTGAGCAGCATTGGGCATCGGGACTTTATTAGGCTGGTTCTGTAGCCAAAAGGGTGTGTCATGATTTGGGCAGATTAAGGACAGGGTCATTTTTACGGGTGGGGAGGTGGCTGGAAGGGGGCGTCTCTGCCCTCAGCAGTGTGTACTCACTCATTGGAGAGGCAGCGAAGAGCAGTGGATGGGCCTAAACTGCCGGTCCCATCCCTGTCACCCTCTTTCCTCCCAGAGAAGGAACTGAAGTTGCTTCGGCAAGAGAACCGGAAGAACATGCTGCTCTCTGTGGCCATCTTCATCCTTCTGACCCTCGTCTACGCCTACTGGACCATGTGAGCCTGGCACTTCCCCACAGCCAGCACAGGCTTCCACTTGGCCCCTTGGTCAGGGCCAAGCAGGCACTTCAAGCCTCAACAGGACCAAGGTGCTAGGACATCCCCCTCCCAGCTTCCTGGCAGCCCAGGCCGCCTTGCCTCCCTGGCCTGCTGGGGGGTTCTGTGTCTCCAGAAGGACATGGTGGCAATAAAGAACACCAAGCTGCTTCTGTCTGGTGAGTAAATGTCATGGTGTGACTACCTGGGAGTTGGGGGATGGGGTGGGAGGGGGCGGTGGTAGCAGGGGTGGCACTTGGGAATTAAGAAGAGATGTTCAAGGGAAAGCTCTAGCTTACAATTCAGAGGAGAGGAGGCGGCCCCCAGCTTGACTGGGAAGTAAGGAGATAGTGGGAAGCACTTTCCAAGGCTAGGAGTGGGAGTCACTTCCAGGGCTCGGGGACTGCCGGGGCTGAGAAGCAGACATTGTGCCACCTGTCCATCCCCCCACCACACACTGCTGTACCCTACAGACAGTGCCATTGCCTGTAATTATGGCAGAAAAAATGCAGTCTGCAGTGAAGGGCGGCTTGGGGACTTGAAGTGGTCATGTGGCGATCCCGGGGGAGTGCAGAGTTAATCCATCTTCGACAGGCAGGCAAGGCTGGGGAGGCTGCGAGTGGGCAGCAGAGTCACGGTAATGACCAGCCAGACTTACGGTGACAGTGGCCAGTAAATCAGGTGGGGTGTGTAGTGAGCAGGGGTAGGGCTGATCAGAGGGGGAGCTGTGGCAGGAGCAGCAAATTCAGACATGCCCCTTATCCCTCCACCCCACAACTCTAACTCCTAGCTTGGGAATAAGGAGGGGAGCAGGTGGGAGGCTGCAGCAAGGCAGAACAGAGGAAGGGCGTGGATGGCCGAGATGAAACCAATTAAGTAGGAAAAACTAGGGAAGGAGTTGCCCCCGGAAGCTAAGGCCATCCACAAAGGACTCGGGGCCAGGATGAGGAAGCCTAGCAAAGTGCAGGTGGATTCTGTGGGGGAACCAGCACCAGCGCCATGACTTACTGGTGGAGAAAACACCCAGAAACAGAGCCCCCAGGCCTAGGCCCCCTTCCCCCCTTCCCCCACTTACTGCAGACAGAACCAGCCCTCCATGGAGGGAAGGCAGGCTGGGGTCAGTGAAACCCTCTCTCCCTCCCTCTTTCCCCCCAGTCTAGTGACACTAATTGGTCTGACGCCTCTGTTATTTTAGTCACACAGCCTGATCCTGGACTGTCACAGTGCCACCACAGAGTGAGCTGCGTGATTTATGTAAAGCGGGAAGGTGTCTCTGCCCTCCCGGGGCTGTAGGTTCATTCATCTGCAGTCCCTGCTTCTAACAGGGGCAGCATAATTTCCCCCAACTCCTTAGGCCCCTTCTTGAGCAGCAAGCAACAGGCCTGGGAGCCCTGCAGGGCCCCAGAAGCTTGGACAGGCTCCGATTAAACAAACCCTCTTTTCTCTCCTCTGCTATGAGTAGAGCTGCCTCCCCTTCACCTCTGGCCCAAGCTGTTTCATCCACGCCAGTCCCAGACCACAAAGCACTGAGGACAAACAGCAGCAGCCCCAACACAGAGCCACACAGGCATTAAAAATATGTTTATCTTTAATGATCCAAGATTCTGCAAGACACACTGATATACCCAGAATTGGGTGGAAATACAGCATCTCAGCAGTGCTGCTGCCAGCCTGGGGGTGGGAAGCTGGATGCTGGCTGAAGGACCCCCATGGTGAAGTCGATTCCAACCTCACGGGAGCCTCAGTGCCCTATCTCCATGGAAACCAGCCTGGCACTGGGATGGGGCCCTAGGGAGCCTGCATGAACATCTCTGAGAGGTATTTCCCATTAAAAACAACCACAGGTGCCCTCCCCCACCCAGAGCTACTGCCCAGCTTCCCCTCCTCTCTGCCTCCGCCAAGATAGAAGAAATGGGAGTGACCATGTAACGACAAACAAAAGCATACTATACCTCCTATTAGGGAAGAAAAACGGGAAAGGGCAGAAAGGGAGCTGCACTTCGAGCTCAGAATTCTGCCAAGACCTTAGGGTGGCTATGGCAGATGGTGGTGCATGACTGCCAGAGGGCAGCACCACCCAAACCCCTAGAGGTGCCTTTGTTACTGGTGGGGCCACTGTTGTCGGGGAGAGAAAGACAGGTCTTCAAGGCTGCTTCCTGCCCTCTAGTGCTGCCCAATGTTTGGACTAAAAGGGGATGGGGCCCACTCAGTACTAAAGAGAGGGCTCCCAGGATCTCAACATGGTGTCAAGGACGTGAGTGAGGCCTACACTCCCTCATTCCCACCTTGCTGGACTGTCAGAGCTCTGGGCTAGGAAGAACTCCAGGGACGGCCAGGAGGAGTGGGGGGAGGAGACAAGAAAATCGTCTCCAACTTGGCATCAAAACGGTAAGTTCAAAGAAACAAAACCTTGATTTTTTACAACAGGCTCTCCTGGCCCGCTCACAGCAGCAGGCCTCCGCCTACTCAGGGATGGCCCAATAAAAAGTTGGGCAAAGCAAGGGCATGGCTACCCTCAGGGGCAGTGCATGGAACTCAGAAAAGTGAGTCTATTCAGGATGCAGGAGAGAAGAGAGAGCCCACAGCTCTGCGACTCTGACGTGTCCTCCATCGGCCCGACGTGCCCTAGGCACTGACCTCACGCCTGCCTCAGGAGCAGCTTCCTTCAGGCTGAGTCCTAGCAGGGGGAAGTTCCCAGGCAGGTGTCCCAGAAGGAACATGGGAGTGTCCTCTGCAGGGCCCTGCCTTGAGCTCTTCAGGGGATGGAGAGGAGGCCACCCACTCCTCATGCCAGGTGCAGTGCTCCCAGGTCCCTTTTCAAGAGGGGAAGAAGCCAGCACTGTGGGCTCCAGGTGGCCCCGTCTCAGGAATGACAGGACACTCTGCAGGGGTGGCACATCCTGAGGCCCTTAGGCGCTGTGCATGTGGATGAAGGAGAGGACATCTTCCTTGGATAGCTTGTCCTGGTCCTGGGGCTTCTGGGAGTCATGCACACGAATGCCATCCCCCCACTCCCAGAAGAGCCGGCCATAGTAGCAGATGCTGGGGAGGAAGAGGAGGGCAAAGAGGTCAGAGGGCTGCACCCAGATGGAATAGGGTCAAGTGTTCTTAAAGGTGTGGGAGGCAGGGGTCTGTCAATGACTAGTTGAGGGTCTTCCCCCGGCAGCCGAAAGGCACCAGTAGGCCCAGCTCCTCCCTGCCTCCCTGAACCAACTTTTCCCAACAAACAGCTGTTGCTAATTGCATCCAACTGGATTCCTACAAAGACTGATATTCCTGCTTTATCTGTCTGTGCTTCTCTAATAGAACAGTATTAGTACTGTGGCGACAGAAAATGTCAGTGGCTAATTACAGGCACATGAGGGCTGCTGGGGAAGCCCATGACCAACAATCTAATGGACACTGGGTCCTACAAAGGGACAGCTGGGACCTTGAGTGCCAAGGGGCAGGGCTGTGGGCCCTCAGCATATTCCCACCATCAGGCCAGCGTCAGAATGTCACTGAAACGTGGCTGCTCCACGGACTGAACATGCTGCCCAGATGAGTCTTCCACAGCCAGGCCCCCAGCTATCACAGCAGGTCCAGGCATCATGCCCGGCCACACCTGCAGGGGGCTGCCATCCCCACAAAGGGGTTCTCAGGCTCAGTGGAACCCCTGGTGGACAACAGTGTCAGAACCCAGGGTGTGCCCCAGGACAGCTGGCTAGCATTCTGCAGGAGTATTTATTTGAGGCTGCTAAGGAGGGCAGGCTTGGAGAACAGCTACTTACTGAAATGGGGCAATGGAGTCTGCAGGGAGGTCAAAAGTAGAGTCCTTGGTTTTCTTGTTGTAGAAGAACTTCCTCTTGAAGCTTTTGCTGAATCCCATAGTCCAGGGCTCTGACAGGAGCAAGAGGGAATGAAACCCAGAAGGGACACAAAGCACTTGTGGAGGACAGGTGCATGCCCTCCTCCACTCCTGGTGGTCCTATCCCTGCCTCCCCCCAAAAGCAGGCAGGGACCAGCCCATGAGGTGGCGGCCTTCATCACCAGCCCAAAGGGGCTCCTGGAGAATGACCAAGCAATGACTCGCAATGACCCCACCCCAATCCTGCCAACCAGCTATCAGGGTAACATCTCTAGGACTCTCAGCAGAGGGCTCTGAAGAAAGGGGGATGCAAATGGACAGAAGCCAAGCTTGACTTTCTGGACATGCTGCTGTCTACTGAAAAGGCCCTTTTCCTGCCATGAGAACAACACGCGCATGTGTACAAGTTGAGCTCTCTCACTATTTCCTACCCCACTCCCAGGGCCCACGGAAGAACAGGAGAGGCTCAGGGAACACTGTCCCCTGACGTGTACCTCAGAGAAATGCCAGCCTGGCTGCTACCCACCTTAGCAGGGAGCCCTTAGCTCTGGCTCAGGCAGCATCTGGGCCCATCACCTGGCAGGGAGCGGGGAAGGGGGAAAGGGGAAAGGGGGAAGAGGCGAGGGAGTGGCGGGAACAGTCCCTCCTCACCCACCATTCACTGTCCTGACGATGTAGAGGCCCATGGGTACAAAGTGCCGGTCATCACGCCCTGTGTAGCTGAGCTTTGGGGTGCCACTGGAGCCCTTGATGATCTTCATCTCCAACCTGATTTCCCCGAGAAGGTATGTACATGAGAGAGCGAAAAGGCCTTGGCTGACAAAATTAGTCTCTGGCTAATAAAATTACCCAACTGTAGTATCTGATCCTGGTTTGACTTAAGACGAAACTGAGGTACAGAGCCAAGTGAGTGAGTAGCCACGCTGGGGTTAAAATTCAGGCCCTGAATTCCCACTCAGACGGTGCAGGGGAGTAACAAATGACCCTGCTGTGTTGCTGCTGTTTGGGGGGTTTCAAGGTGACACCAGTAAGGGTGAGATCTGAGACCATGCGTGCCATGGCAACACTGTGGCCATGAAAGAGTTAACGTAACCTTCTCCACATAAGCACATCCAGAAGGAGACTGCGATCTGTGAGCACCCGCACACCACTAAGAGGACGCATTTATGCCCCTTCTACCCCTCCAGGCTCAATCTCTCTCTCAGCACTGGGAGCTGGGATTTATGGTATTTCAAGCAGCTTGCTGCTCTGCCCCTCGCAGGGCCCGTCGTAACTATGACAGCATCAATGAGCCCGTATTTCTGCCTGACACAGCCTGCCCGGGTCCCTCCTGACAGGAAGCTGAAGCAGCTCTCAGCCAGGGGGCTCTTGGCTGCAGCGGCACTGCAGCAAGGCAGGTGAGGTGACCACTGGAGCCAGCTCACTACCTCACCCCTGACCCATCTCTACAAAACGTAGGATGACTCCAGGACACGGCCGCACCCCCGCCTCCTCTTGACTCAGCTTCAAAGGTCAAGTCACTCACCTGACAAAAATCTTCTCCATCTCTTCCAGTCTGTACACCTCCTTCACCCTGCAGGCAGAGGGACAGAGACAAGGCAAAGGCTTCCTGGGGGACATGCTCATCCAGGAGGCAGCTGGGGGGAGGCAGGAGACTGCACCTGACCTTGGCTTCTGCCCCAGGCCCTCCCTGAAACCACCCAGCCCACCGGCAGTGAGGACACCAAGCCTGCCAAGCAGCTGTCTACACAGATAAGCCCTGGGTTTGGGGCCTGCATCAGGACAACTGGGGATTGCAACTATGGATACTGGAAGACAGGAGGGAGAAAGGAAGAAAAGTCTGGCGGACAAAGATGTGTCTGTCAGCATTCCCACCCCCAGCTCACCTTCACCATCACCAAAGGGCAGAACACCAAGGAGCAGGCTCTCGCCCAGGTCTATCCACATGGATTTTAGGCCTTCCATAACAAGTTACTGCTCAACAGTCCTAACAGTCCTATTGCCCACAGCAGGTGTGGGACCCCGAACTAGGATGCAGGGCTCCTGTTTGATGCCCACATTCTACCTCTGGGGGGGCCTGAACACGTCTTTGAAACTGCTAGTGGGGAAGGTTCCCAGAAATCCAGCAACCAAACCACAAGCAATGAAGGCAAGGTCCCCCTGGGAGCTGCCTTTCAGGACCTAGCAGACAGGACATTCTAAAGTACAGACAGAAATTCCTTTGACACTTTCACATGCCATCTATAAAGTGCATTCTCAATACTGGATTTAATTTTAACTAAGTTTATGTTAAAAAGGACAAAAATGATGTTGGTGAAGTGTAAACAGATACCTCAGTCTCCAGTGCATGAAGCCCCCAAGAGCAGGGCTAAGCCCTTTGGCAACAACCTCAGACCTCAGCCTACCCTGGAAAAGTGTGTCCTCCGTCTGTCTCTTCCTGACCCTGTTCTCTTCCTCCTTTCCCTCTCAGGATCTGGAACTTTCCTACTATCTAACATTACAACAACCCTGGCCGCCTCCTCCCCACGCACTGGGGGTCCCATTCCCTCAAACCATCCTTCTCTTTTTTCATGTTCAAAACTCCCATTCCCTCAGCACCCATTTCTTACCTGAAAAAAATGAGAAGGCCAGGTGATGTGCTAACAATGCCCAAGTGGGAAAGGGTGATTCATGAGGTGGGCTGGCACTCTTAGAAGCACGTGCATCTTAAACAAGGACACCTTAACCCCTCAGAATGCAGTCTACCCACTGCTAGGCAGGATGGGGAGATGCTCTGGGGCAAGTCACCCACCTAGCACCCCCAAACAAACTCCTCAGCAAGAACAGTCTTGTCCCTAACACCAACTTGCCTAGTGCCCTCCACTGAGCCGTCCCATCCCTCACTGGATGGGGGCAGCAGGTACTAGCCAGAAAGAAGCAAGGCGGGCAGGGGTCACATGCTCACCTGATGGGATTCATATCAGGCCGACTGGGCTTGGAAACGGCTTTCACAAATTTCTCAGCAAGCTGAATTCTACAATCCAAACAGTCTCTCTCAGAGGCAAGAAAGGATCCCTCCACCAGCACCCCTACTCCCAGGGCATTTTCACAACTCCAACAGGAGAACCTTCTGAATCTACGGCAAGACTGCTCCAAGAGGCAGAACCCATGTCCCCCAGGAAGCCCGCCCTGCCCTTCTCGTCTTCATTCATGCCCTGCCCCTGTGGATTCTGGCCTCTGATTTCACTGTCTGTTGGTTTTCTTGAAGTGTGCCTTCAGCTGTGCTCAGTCACCTCCACTAGAGCTTCAAGTATTGTCTTTATCGTATGTGTCTGCCCTGTCACCCCAAATTGTGGACACCACAGTGCACCCGCTCAGATGAAGCAACTTAAATGAGACCACTGAAGCACAGGACATTTCTTCCAAGGAGTACCCCCTCTTCCCGCAAGGTCACCCTCTTGCTCAACCTTAACATAAATACCTCAACCCGAGCCGTGGCAAAATGGAGTGTGCTGGTATCTCTGATAACCAGGGCCCAAGCCCTAGCAAACTCTGAAGTGGCAACACCAATTCTCACCCTGACTTTGGCATCAACCAGTGGATGGGAGAGGGGAATTCTCAGCATGTCAACAAGCAGACAAGGCCTAGGTGAGGGGCCACACCTCAGGAGGCCACTGTCCACCAAGCTGCCCTGGCCTACCCCCACCCTCCCTACCCTGGGGCCCAGGTCAGACCGCTGGTTAAAGTGCTGCTCCCGGACATCGGTGCCATTCAGCACAAGGACATCGAGGATATGGATGGCACTGATCTTCCGCTGGGCCTTCCCCTAGAAGGATAAGTAAGTACACTGCCCACTCTGCCAGGCGTCAGTCTTCAGCCCCCACTACCCACCATGATATGTGGCTTCTTTCCGCCTATGGCTGGGGGAAGGGTAGGGCTCTAAATGCAGGATATTTCTCATCTCCCTCCCAGCTGCTTCTCAGCACGATTGGCCTGGGCTTCTGAGCAGGGGAAGATCCAAGCCACTGGGTGATGAGGCCCTGAACCTCAAACCCAGTAAGGCTGCTGCCATGGCACTCCAGACAGGACCTAGCTTACCGCCCTTGCCAACTGTTCCTACTGACGGTTCTGAATGTCACCATATAGATTTGATACTCATGGCTTCTGAGAAATAACAAGTCTCTTCTTTCCCAAGGGATCTCTGGTTTTTAGCAAAAACTAAATCAGCTGCTAAAAAATACCCAGTAGACCAGGCATCCCCAAACTTTTTACACAGGGGGCCAGTTCACTGTCCCTCAGACCACTGGAGGGCCGCCACATACTGTGCTCCTCTCACTGACCACCAGTGAAAGAGGTGCCCCTTCCTGAAGTGCGGCAGGGGGCCGGATAAATGGCCTCAGCGGGCCGCATGCGACCCGTGGGCCGTAGTTTGGGGACGCCTGCAATAGACTCATCAGGGTCCTCAATGCACAGAAACAACTGAGGTCTCCTTTGATGCACAGAAACTGAGCTCCTCCTTACCTGAACCACTGTGGCTTAGAGGAACCGCTCTGGGAGGAGTAATTACAAACGCTTTCCCTAGCCCTGGGCCCTGTCAGCCACCACACAATGTAACCAAGTTAACTCAGGGCAAAAGGCCAGGTTCAGCAGCACCCCAGTTCCCTAGCTGCAGGGCTAACACCTGAGCAGAACCATCTCTGACCTCCCCTTTCAGCTCATGCACAATTTCCACCGACAGCAGAGTGTCCCGGGGCAGCTCTGTCTTCAGGTCTAGCTTGACCCAGCGGTCTGACTGGCGGCCATCCCACGTGTAGATCTGAGATTTCTGCAGGCAGAGAGAAACAGCCGGGTAAGGAAGGCATGGCGATCAAGGGTAAGAGGCTTATTTCTCAAGAGCTTTTAGTTGGCAGCCTCAAGCTGATGGGATTGGGAAATGTCAGAAGAAAATGTCTATGAGAGATTAAATCAATTATACTTTAGTCATAATGATAGCAGTGTTCTCCAGTGCCTAAGCAGATGAGAGGCAGACATCTGGCTCAGCCTTGGAACAGGCGCAGGGCACCACTCAAAAGACCTAAGTCCATGATTAGAGGCCCTCAAAAACCCAGTTTTGTGTATGTCTAGGGTGGGTTTGGTGAAGGGTCTAAAGAGCAGAGGAGAGAGTAAGTAAAATGAGGAAAAAAAAAAGTGTGAGAGGACACAAAAGAAGTAACTGAGGAAGGATCAAATTATACAGAAATATAAGAGTTGAAAGAAAAAGCAATGGACTTTACCCAGCTAAGTAAGATAAAGAGCTTGCTTGCCAAGGCTTTCCCTCACCTAAATTTTAGACTCCAGGGGGCCCAGGGTAGGAAGAGGGAGTATCTTCGCAAGACGGGGGATGGCATGGGGTGGTGGTGGTACTGCAAGGAAATGGCTGCATGGGCTCAAGCAAGATTAGCCTCCTGCCCATGCTACTAGCCTGGGAAGCTCTGTTTCACAAGAAAAGTTGTAGTGTCCCTTTAGCAATGCACAGAGTTGAAGAAACAAATGCATGAACAAATGAAAGAATGAATGAATGACACTTGGCAAACTCAGGAAGAAAGGAAATGAAGTTTCAAGAAATACATTCACTAGGTCAAAGCCCCAGCTACTTAGTGCCAAGAGAACATGCACCAAATGTGGCAGGCAGCTGTCCAGATTCCCACAAAGGGCAAATCCACCATACCAAGCTGGGCAGGAAGCCAGCTGCAGACTTACCCCTAGGCCGATGAGGAATTTCTGCTCACTGCCAGATACCATGCAGCGGTAGTCAAACACAGGGCGGATCTTCTCCAGGGTTTTAGAGGTGAGCAGTGTGGGCTTGTAGCTGAAGATGTCAATCTCGGTGCCCTGCAGCCATGAGTCAGAGAAAACACTGCCAGGTTGGTGGCAGGGACAGTATGGGTGCCTATATGGGCCGAGGGCAGGCTCGAGAAGACAAGGGACAAGAAGCACGAGCTCTCTGAAATATGCTCCCCAGCATCCCCTTCTCTACCTAACTGTGCACTAAATGGGATCTATTTCATTTCATCTCCTTGGAGTGTTCCTGTAGGACCTATTAGGAGAGGCTGGGAAGGGAAAGAACACTGAGTCCCCAAGTACAGATCGATTTACCAGAACTATAAGAAAATGTCACCAGAATATAAAAGCTGCCCCTTCAATAAAACTAAAAGCAAGGATTCCTCAGCAGTTGGTTTGAGAATAGTTAAGTGATCTCTTTACCCCATTAAGAAAAATGTACACATACTATTGTTTTGAGGCTATCTGAACCTTGGTCTCCAGTCCCTGACCCCCACAAAACCAACACAATTGCCCATGATCTAGGCCAGATTTAAATGAGGCTCAAGTAAAAGCTGGAAGTTGAGTGGTAGAAAGAAACAGAGCAAAAGAACTCTGAGGACCAGCTCACCAGAAATAAGAGAACCTGGGGTTAGACCAGCCCTGCTGTGGGTGTCCATGGCAGCTCCCTTCACCCTGTGATTACCTCCCTTGCCTAAGATCGCCCCACACTCCATGTCTCCTTTGTAGGCAAATCCCACAGGATCCTGAACTTGCCAGGATGACACAGCCAGCACCACCCTTTGGGTGGCTTGTGCCTGGGCATAAGCACTGAAGATGAGAATCTTCTGTTGGCCTGACTGCTCTTGGGGACCTCAATACCCTATACCAAAGGTTCTCACTCGTGGCAGCCTTAGCTCCACCCCTTAGAGCCCATGAGAAGTGCCTGCACAAGCCCTCGGGAGGCCATCCATCTGGGGCCTCAGTGGTACCATCCACATCTAGAGACAGAACTCTAATTTTTTATTTCCACTGCAGATACCAGTCTTACCTGGATCAGCTCAAAGAACTTTGATTTGGGGTCTGAGGAAGAAGGAGCCACACGAGCCTGGTCTGGGATCTGAAATAAGACAGCAAAGAGCTTTGACTTTCAAATGCCCTTTTGACCAAGGCCATGTAAGAGTGTATGCAGGTGCAGGATAGGGTTAGACTAGGGAGGAGGAATGGCACACAACAAAGGAGGCTGGGATGGCAGGGATGGAGGTGGATAATTCACTTACTGCTCCCTTCTGGACCCCATGGTAGTGTACCCCAAAGGCTATTTCCTTTTCTCTGGGGCTCTCTGTGGTCAGTGCTGCTACACAGAGCCACCAGTTGCAAAAATGACGCCAATCCACCTCCCCACATCCCACCCCGTAGTCCTTTCTGACCCAGCTGCAGGGCCAAACGGGCAGTGAAACAGCCAAAGAGGTAACTACCAACAATGCCGAGATGTCGACCTCCAGGGTACTGGGAGGGTAACAGATATTTTTGGATGTGGAGAGACCTTAAGGTGACAGGATTGGAAGTCAATGCCATTCTTCTCTACAGCTTCCCTGCCCTGATGCAGTAATGGGCTGGGGGAGACACTCACCCCCCAGAGTCGGAGGCACTCCTTTCGGATCTCTGCCTGCCGAGGCTCACTCAGTGTCCTAGGAATATGGAGCCAGTTAGTGATCAAAATCTCTAAGAGGCACAGGAGTGCAGCCCCTGTGCACCCCTCATATCCCATGGAGTGGAGGCCTGAATGAATGAACATGTGAGTATACACACAGGCACCAAGCTGCCACTGGCCCAGGGTGATTACAACACATGGAAGGCTCTCCTTTTGAAGACAGGAGCTCAAACATACATGAAATGGGATTATCTGCCCTTCTCACCACAATAGGAAAGGAGAAAGTGCCCTCCAGACCACCTGGATGCCAGGGTCCTCCCTGACACCCCTTTTCAATCACCCATCAGCATGTTCTAGCTCCTCTTCTGCTGACAGGGTTCACACTAAACCCGTCCCAATGGATTCAGCATGCCCCACAAAGCTGAATTAGCATATGTTCACCCCTACCAGAGGTTTCTCTCATTAGTCCTACCTCTCCTCTTGACCAGTCTTTACCCCGTGTCCCCTGAACATTATGTATTCTACTTGTGCTATTCCACTCTACACCCTCTGATGCACTCTTGATAACTTTTCCCATATCCTTTTCCTGGGTTACTCTTATCTGCCCAAAGACAACGTAAAGTATCTGGGGACAAGGTTCATGTCACACACGTCTCTGGCATCCTTCAGAGACCATCGCAGAGTATGAGATAGAGTAGGTATTTAAAAATATTCACTGAATTGAAACAAACAAACAGCTTGTGGGGAGGAGAAAAGCAAGTTGTTGAAATAGGTGGATTCTGAAAAGTGGGCAACACTCACGTGTCTTGAACAAAGGCATGGATTTTCGCCAGAGCTTTAATCTGTAGACTACAGTGGCTAAAAGAAAAAAAAATTATTTGATTTCAGGATTCCCAAAAAAGACAGGCAACTGACATCAGGACAGAGAGGTTAAGCTGGAGCAGTGGCCATCTGCATTTGGTGGAGGAGCTGGACAGTTAATTAAGAAACCCACACCTCTACCCCAAGGTGCAGTTATGTGGGGCTTACTGAAGGCTGAGAGTATAACAGTAAAACTAAGCCACTCAGTTCTTCAATCCCAAGTTTTACTAAAAGGAAGCTTCTGATCCCAACCTTAAATAATCTGAAGTAGTGGTGAACTCATTCAAAGCCCAGACTCAGTTCAACTACAGACTAAGCTTACTCGACCCATATATCCTAACAGCTATCCTTTCTACTTTAGTCTTCACTGTTCTTTAAAAACAATGTCTGGCATTTAATAAAAAATTATGAGGCATGTGGTAAAGCAAGAAAATGCTGCCCATTGACAAGAGGGAAAACAGGCCAACAGAACAAGACCCAGAGATGGCCCAAATGTTAGAATTATCAGATGGGGCCTTTAAAGAACTGTTAAAGATAACATGTTAAAAGATCTAGTGGAAAGGGTGAATGACATATATAAAAAGGTGAAGATTTTCAGCAAAGATATAGAAAATATATTTTTAGAAGGCAAATAGAAATTCTAGAAATGAAAATATGTTAGAGATGAATAATTATTTTGCTGGGATTAGCAGACTGAAATAGTAAAGAACCAGTCAACTTTTTGAGAACAGACATGTCAGCAGAAACGCAAACTGAAACATAAGAGAGGAAAAAAAGTGAAAAGAAAAACAGATCATCTAGGTATTGGGGACAATAGCAAACTGCTTAACATATACATAATTGGAGTTCCAGAAGCAGAGGAAATAATAAAACAACATATTAGGCCAGGTGCAGTGACTCACACCTGTAATCCCAGCACTTTAGGAGGCTGGGGCAGGTGGACCTCCTGAGGTCAGGAGTTCAAGACCAGAATGACCAACATGGCAAAACCCCATCTCTACTAAAAATATAAAAATTAGCCAGGCATGGTGGTGGGCACCTGTAATCCCAGCTACTTGGGAGGCTGAGGCAGGAGAATCACTTGAACCCTGGAGGCAGAGGTTGCAGTGAGCTGAGGTCATGCCATTGCACTCCAGCCCAGGCAACAGAGCAAGACTCTGTCTCACAAGAATAAAACAACAAAAACATATTGACAAACAAACGGCCAAGAAATTTCCCAAACTGATTAATGAAATCAATCCAAAGATCCAAGGTCAGTGAACCCCAAGCAGAATAAATACAAAGAAAATCACATATAAATATATCAAGGTTGACATACTAAAAAGATAAAATATTAAAAGCTACCAGGAGGGAAAAAGACACATGACGTACAGGAAAACAATAAAAATAACAGCTGACTTATCAGAAACAAGGGAGGCAGAGAAGCATGGAATTTTATCTTTAAAGTGCTAACAGAAAAAACATCAACCTCAAATTCCATACCCTGTGAAAATATCCTTCAAAAAGGAAAGGGAAATAAATACATTTTCTTTAAAATTTTTTAAATTTTTTTTTTGAGACAGAGTCTCATTCTATCACCTAGGCTGGAGTGCAGTGGCTCAATCTCAGCTCACTGCAACCTCTGCCTCCTGGGTTCAAGTGATTCTCTTGCCAGGAGTTTCCTCATGTTGGCCAAGCCAGTCTCAAGCTCCTGACCTGAAGTGATCCACCTGCCTCAGCCTCCCAAAGTGCTGAGGCATGAGCCACCATGCCCGGCCTAAATACATTATTATTATTATTATTATTATTATTATTTTATTTTGAGATGGAGAACTGCTCTCTTGCCTAGGCTGGAGTGCAATGACATGATCTTGGCTCACTGCAACCTCCGCCTCCCAGTTTCAAGTGGTTCTTCTGCCTCTGCCTCCCGAGTAGCTGGGATTACAGGAGCCCACCACCATGCTGGGCTAATTTTTGTACTTTTGTGGAAACAAGGTTTCACCATGTTGGTCAGGCTGGTCTCAAACTCCCGACCTCAGGTGATCCACCTGCCTCAGCCTCCCAAAGTGCTGGGAATACAGGCATGAGCCACTGCACCCGGCCTAAATACATTTCTAAATAAACAAAAGCAGGAAATTAGTCTCCAAAAGACTTGTACTACAAAGACAGTCTAAAAGAAATTCTTTAGGCTAAGAAAAATGATTCCAAATAGAAATCTGGTTCTACAGGAAGGAATGAAGAATACCAGAAAGGGTAAATATGTCAGTAAATACCAAGGACCTTTTTTAAAAAGTTAAGATATATATGTGCATGCATGTGCATCTTTGAAAGACAATAAATGGTTTAAACTAAAAACAGTAACAATATAAAATAGGGTTTATATAAAAACAAAAACACAAAGACAAAAGAACAATAGCATGTACGGTGTTTTAAGGTTCTTACACTGTTCATAAAGCAACAAAATATTTTTGGAAGGCAGACTATGATTAAAGGTGTAGACTGTAATCACTAGAGCAACAATTGAAACATAGCACAAAAAAGGCATTTAAAAAAAAAACCCCAAGGGGATAAAAGGAATACTAAAAAATACTGAATAAGTCCCCCCAAAAAAGGAGGGAAGAAAGAGAGGAACAAAGAGCAGACAGGATAAATAGAAATCAAACAACCAAGACAGGGGATTTAAAGTCAAACAATAATTACACTCAATGTAAATGTACCAATCACCCCAATTAAAATGCTGAGACTTTTATCCAGGTCAGACTGGACAAAAAGGTAAGACTCAACCACATGTTGTCTATAAGAAACACATTTACTTGTAAAGAAAAAGGTAGAAGGACAAAAAAAGACCATACAAGCATTAAGCTAAAGAAAGTTTATGTGGCTATATTAATGTCAGATAAAGCAGACTTTCAGACAAGGAGTATTACTGGAGATAAATAGGATTTTTCATAATGATAAAAGGTCAATTCATCAAGAAGACAAAATTATCTTAAATGTCCACGTGCCTAACAACAAAGAACCCAAATTGCTGAAGAACTGACAAAACTAACGGGAGAGACAGACAACCCAATAATCATAAAGACTTCAACACTCTTAGCAACTGACAGAATAAGTACTCAGAATATCAGCTAAGATTTAGAATATTTGAAAAACACTATGAACCAAATTAACATTTATAGAGCATTATACCAAGCAACATCAAGACAGAGCACATGATGGGCCCTAAAATAAGCCTCATTAAGTTTCAAAGGATCAAAATCCTACAGAATACATTCTCTGAGAATGGCGTGACTAAATCGAATAGGTATCTTGAAAATCCTAAATTACCTGAATATTAAATACCACACATATGCATAATCCAGGAATCAGAATAAATCATAAGGAAAAACTTTAAAATATATTAGCTATATGATAATTAAGACTCATATCGGGATTCCATATTTGGGCCCCCTTCTATAATCTCATGGAATCTTTTTATCTTTTTCTTTCTCCTTTTTCTCTTTCTCTGCCTAAATAAATCACTTTCTGCAAAAACTCTTTGGAGTCCGATATTTACTTCCAAGTGTACTGTGCCTGGTGTGGTTCCCTCTCCCATTCTTGGGTGAGTGAGAGACCAACAGCCCGGAAGAACAGCCCACCTCCCCACTTCCCCTGGTCCCAGAACCCGGCAAGAAATATTGGCGAGCCAGCCAAGACTGCAGCTTAAGAAAACTGTTACTTCAGGCCGGGCGCAGTGGCTCAAGCCTGTAATCCCAGCACTTTGGGAGGACGAAGCGGGTGGATCACAAGGTCGAGATCGAGACCATCCTGGTCAACATGGTGAAACCCCGTCTCTACTAAAAATACAAAAAATTAGCTGGGCATGGTGGTGCGTGCCTGTAATCCCAGCTACTCAGGAGGCTGAGTCAGGAGAATTGCCTGAACCCAGGAGGCGGAGGTTGTGGTGAGCCGAGATCGAGCCATTGCACTCCAGCCTGGGTAACAAGAGCGAAACTCCGTCTCAAAAAAAAAAAAAAAGAAAAGAAAAGAAAACTGTTACTTCAGAGGGGTAAGTGAGTCAGACCCCTTTCACTTGAAATCTGTCCTGTTGCTTTTAAGAAATACCAGAGTGGCTGTGCCGAGCCACAGCGGGGAGGGGGACAGCCTGTCTTTAAGTGGTGCAGGCCAGCCAGGTTTAAATAAAAGCACAGTCTCTTTCTCCAATTTCGCACTCTCTCTCTCCCTCCCTCCTTCCCTCCCTTCCTTCCTCTGTCTCTCGGCTGCATCCATATTTTGGTCCCTTTCCACAATCTCGTGGAAGCTTTTCTCTCTTATCTTTTTCTTTCTCCTTTTCCTCTTTCTCTGCCTAAATAAATCACTTTCTGCAAAAAAAAAAAAAAAAAAAAAAAAGACTCGTATCAAAATGTAGTTAAGATTCAGCTAAAGCATTCTTTTTTTTGAGACAGGGTCTCGTTCTGTAACCCAAGCTGGAGGGCAGTACTGTCATCTTGGCTCACTGCAATCTCCACCTTCTGGGCTCAAGTGATCCTCCTGCCTGAGCCTCCTGAGTAGCTGGTACCACAGGTGCAAGCCACCATGCCTGGCTAATTTTTGTATTTTTTGTAGAGACAGGGCTTCACTATGTTGCCCAGGCTGGTCTCAAACTCCTGAGCTCAAGTAATCTACCTACCTTACCCTCCCAAAGTGCTGGGATTACAGGTGTGAGCCACCATGCTTGGCCCTAAAGCATCCCTAAAGGGAAACTGTAACATTAAAAAAATAAAATATTGGTTCTTTACACATCTGCAGTAGTGGTAAAAATAAATAAATAAATAATAATAATATATACATATGTATATGTGCAGAAATAGAAAAACCCATCCTAAAATTTATATGGAATCTCAAGGGACACCAAATAGCCAAAGCAATCTTGAAAATGATGAGCAAAGTTGGAGAACTCACACTTCCTGATTTTAAAACTTCCTACAAAGCTACAGTAATAAAAACTGTCTACTAATGGCATACAGACAGACACATAAGCCAATGGAAGAGATAGCCCAGAAATAAACTCTTACATATATGGTCAAATGATAGATGCCAAGACCAATAAATGAGGAAAGGGCAGTGTTTTCAACAAATGGGGCTAGGAGAACTGGATATCCACATGCAAAAGGAACCTTACCTAATACTATACACAAAAATAAACTTAAAATGAATCAAAGATGCCGGGCGCGGTGGCTCAAGCCTGTAATCCCAGCACTTTGGGAGGCCGAGGTGGGTGGATCACAAGGTCAAGAGATCGAGACCATCCTGGTCAACATGGTGAAACCCCATCTCTACTAAAAATACAAAAAATTAGCTGGGCATGGTGGTGCGTGCCTGTAATCCCAGCTACTCAGGAGGCTGAGGCAGGAGAATTGCCTGAACCCAGGAGGCGGAGGTTGCGGTGAGCCGAGATCGCGCCATTGCACTCCAGCCTGGGTAACAAGAGTGAAACTCTGTCTCCAAAAAAAAAAAAAGAATCAAAGATCTAAATGTAACAGATAAAACTGTAAAACTCTTAAAACTGAAGAAAGCTTAATGACAATTGAATTTAACAATGATTTCCTGCATATAACACCAAAAGCACAAGGAATAAAAGAAAAAAAATGGTAAATTGGATTCCATCAAAATTTCAAACTTCAATGTATCAAATGACACAATGGAGTGGGGGAAAAAAACCCTACAGAATGGCAGGTGATATTTTCAAATCATATATCTGAAAAGTGATTAATATGCAGAATATATAAAGAACTACTACAATTCAACAACAACAATTCAAAACAGCCAAAGGTCAGCCGGACATGGTGGCTCATGCCTGTAATCCCAGCAGTATGGGAGGCGTAGGTGGGTGGATCACCTGAGGTCAGGAGTTCGAGACCAGCCTGGCCAACATGGTGAAACCTGTCTCTACTAAAAATACAAAAATTAGCTGGGCATGGTGGCGGGTACCTGTAATCCCAGCTACAAACAGGACTTTTATTCAGAATGTAAAATAATTCCTGCAACTTAATAAAAAGGCAAATCAATTTTTGTAAATGGTCAAAAGACTTGAAGAAACACTTCATAAAAGAAGATATACAAATAGCCAATAAACACATAAAAAGGGGTTCAATATCACTAGTTGTCACAGAAATACAAATTGAAACCACAGTGATTTAACACTACACCCCAACAAATGGTTAAAATAAAACTGACAATATCAAATGCTGACAAAGATGTAATCAGAATGTCATACTTTGCTGGATGGAGAATAAAACAATATATAAAAATTGTTTTATTGTTTATATATATAATATACATATTATATATACTATATACATTGTCTTATTGTACACACACATGCACATACACACACACACATAGTGCTTTAGAAAACTACGTGGTATTTTTAAATAAACATACATCTACTCTATGATCCAGAATTTCCCACTCAGGTATTTATCCAAGGGAAATTACAACATTTGTCCACCAAAAGCTTTGTATAGTAGCAGCTTTATTCCTAACAGCCCCAGACTGGAAATATCTCAAGTGGCCATTGACAAGAGAATCTCCATACAATGGAATGTAATACTAGTCATCAATAAAAAGGAACAAACTAACACAATATAATTAATCTCAAAAACACAATGAGGAAAAAATTCCAGACACAAAAATGCATACTGTATGATTCCATCTATACAAAGTTCTAGAACAAGACAAACTAACCTCTGGTGATAAAAATCAGAAGACGGGTTACTTTGGGGTTGGCTGAGTAGAGGTATAAGGAAATATCCTTAGGTAATGGAAACGTTTTTTTATCTTAATAGGAATGTAGGCTACAAGGATATATGTATGCATTTGTCAAAATTGATTGAAGTATATATTTAAGATCTGCATTTCACTTTCAGAATTATACCTCAATTTTTTTAGAAAAAGAAAAGTACTTGGTTATAGAGTTGCTTAAACATTCTGTGCTACTGGAAGCATTGAAAAGAAGTCCAGTTCTGCCATGCAGAACTGTGTACACTTGTTCAGCCAAAAGACATGTTCCATAACCCAGAAGTGTTATAAAGCCCCAGCCAGGCGGGTCCCTGGATCTGTTTGCTTCCTCATCTATAACATGCTGAAGTTTACTGTCTGTTCCACCTTGGTGCCTACCTATGCTATCAAAATGAGGGAACTTACAAGGCAGTACTGTGGAAAGTAAAAACACTAGCCAATAATGGAAAAACAGGAAAGAATGGGATAAAGACTTCCTCCCCTTCTGTGATTCTCCAGGGCCACCTGTATCTTCAAACTTCTCTGGGGGACTTGAGACTGGACCCTCAACTAAGGCCTTTCCAACACCTGTTTGGCCCCCTAACAGAGCACTTTCTGTTGATTCACTGCTACTATACAAACCTCCAACCTATCTCCAAAAACTATTTTCTAAGGACTGCCCGCTGAGAAAACTAAGCCAAATATCACAACTTTTAAATTACTACCACTAACAGGGAGTGGGGAACAGAAAGATACGGAAAACAGCATTTGGATCACCAGCTGGGGAACCCATGAACTGGCAAAAGTTTGGGAACTTGCAAAGCATGTTGTACACATGCTTTCTATCCATCTCCTGCTTCCAAACAGGGGACTTCACTAGGCAACAAGCATGATGGCCTTTTACGAACAGCAGCAATTAAAGGGAAATTACTCCTGCCTCCAGGGACACAGATTGCTCTCTGTCAGCTTTCACTGTCATACACAGGCTCCTGCAGGCAGGCCTATACCAGCTAGGCACCTACCTGCCACCCTTGAGATAGAGTATGGCAGCAGGATGAGGGTCCCTGAGGGTAACTAAACAAAGTCCCAGGGAACCCTGGAACCAGCATACCATACCCAGTGGCCAATTTGTCAGGGTTGACAAAAGTGATACCAAGAGCCACCCATTCAGTCTTTCACTCTCTGGTCTTCATTAGGACCTCAGTGGTACCAGCAAAAACCAGCCCATTGGCTTACCTCTCATTGGACCGTATCATGTAGTCAGTAAATTCATGGTCTCCCTTGATCACCTCCAGGGGGACCACCAAGTTGACGTCAGAATCAGTGTTCCGCAGCTGGTTGAGTTTAATATTTACTGCGAAGAGGTAATCCCGAACGTCATCTATGCCCACCTTCAGGCCCTTGCATACCACATACCTGGCAGGAGATACTCTGTCACTCCACTGAGCAAGGGCTTCCTCCCCACACATGCCTTTCCCCCCAAACCCTTGTGGAATCTCAAAGCTTAACAGCTTCCCTCTTCAACCCTTTGTGGTGCTAAAGTTACCCTCAAATCCTTCCCTGTCAGGCTCTATTTCTACTCTCTCTGTCAGTCCTTCCCAACTTCCCTGTGACAGCCGGGCTGCATCACAACCACCTGGGGAGTCTGTTAAATTACAGACCTAATGAATCAAACTCTCCCAGGAGAAGGCCCAGAAATATGTGTTTGTAACAAGCCACCTGGCAATTCTGATTGGTTGCATTTTATCTCACTTCGTGTGTGGGCACTGTCACACTGAGACACCAGTAGTGCCTCTGGATAGCAGACCCTTACCCCATCCCAGCCCATGTCCCTCCAAGTGTTTTTATTATTGGTCACATTCTCCTGGGCCAAGCTGAGAATCCCTCACATCCTCACATAAGCATAGAGAATAAGGCTTGGGAGGAGGAGGCAGAGGCTAAACTAGCACATCACAAGACCAAAAGATCCAGGAATCCTCAATCCTGTTGGCTCTCATCACTTCTTTGAAGTCAAGGTTTTAAATGTAGCTTAAGAGATCATGCCAGAGAGATGCACCATGATTTGCTGTTACGACATTTAGCCAACTAATGTGGCTAATATAGAGAGAAAGTCTTCACCTCTCTGAGTTGGCAGGACGGCTGGTAATAGGCTTGAAGAGGCAAACTCGTTCAAAGCAGCAGTACAGCAGGTAGACAAGCCCCACACTGAACGGTGTGAACAGGTCAAAGGTTTTACAGATGAAGTGGCCTCCTGGATTAGAAAGAAAACACCAAAAGCAGCCAATGGGTCTATTCTAGGAGACGGGTGAAATAGTCTTGGGAGTAAATATGACAAAGTCAAGGAATCAGTACCTGGGCCCATTAAAAATCAGAGACAATTTAAGGGAGAGAACCAGCTTTGGAGGGGACTTTGAGGATTCCACAGCCCTTTCTTCCCTAAATTACTCATTTAGCTACCTGTCATCTAACAGAAGCAGATTTTTTAACTTCCCAACCAACCCCTTGTGCATGCTCTTGTTCAGTAGGGCCTCTAGTGAGTCCTGGGGTAAGGAGACAGCTGAGGAAGTGTCACCTGTCCGGACAATGGACAGCGCCATGAGGAACTGACACAGCAGCAGCTGCTTGCTGAGGATCTCCTGCAGGTTCTCCTGTCCCTCCACCGAGAAACCCTGAAATGAGAGCACAAGGAATGGGGTGGGAAAGAGAAAGGAGAAGGACTGAGAATAACATCACTACCTCATCTTCACAAGAGCTCTTGAAGTGTTTTCATTGATCACTATCTGACTGATGAAGAAGCAGCTCAGCACTGAGTTATTTTAGGTCACTGGGCTTGTTAGATGGAATAAGCACAGACCCAGGCCTATGACTGGACCAGCTCCACTGTCCTGCTCTATCATTCCCAGGGGACAGAACCAAGCCTGCTTTTTCAAGGAGATGGTTTAGAAAGTTTTAACTCATGGGAATCCAGGGAAGAGTAAGGCAGAACAGAGGCAAAATATTGGCTAGTTACAGGTCAACCACAACATAGGAAACAGAATGCTCTGGTGAGTCCTAACAGGATCAGGGAGTGAATGCAGTGAGAAAACACTGCTTTGGTTTTTCAGTCTGGAGACAGGAGAAAAGTTAACTCTCCTAGTCACAGTAATCTATCTCTCTCTCTGTTGACTCAAGTTTTACTTACAATACCCACTTTCCTGTCCTAAGACCATGATACCTCATCCCTCCAGCTGGCAGACTCTCTGGCCAGGGTATTTCCCGAAAGAATGTGTGATGCTGTTTCTAGACTTGTCTCCCTCCTTGTGCAATCCCAGCAGGAGACAAAGAGCCAGGCTTATATAAAAGTAAAGGAGGCCAGGGACATGGAGTGGCAGAGTATTGTTAAATGGGGATAGTTTCTGTTTTGCAAAATGAAGTTTGGAAAATCTGTTGTACAACAGTGTAAATAGACTTAACACTACTGTTAACACTTAAAAATGATTAAGATGGGGGCCGGGTGCGGTGGCTCAAGCCTGTAATCCCAGCACTTTGGGAGGCCGAGGCGGGCCGATCACGAGGTTAAGAGATCGAGACCATCCTGGTCAACATGGTGAAACCCCGCCTCTACTAAAAATACAAAAAATTAGCTGGGCATGGTGGCGCGTGCCTGTAATCCCAGCTACTCAGGAGGCTGAGGCAGGAGAATTGTCTGAACCCAGGGGGCGGAGGTTGCGGTGAGCTGAGATCGCGCCATTGCACTCCAGCCTGGGTAACAAGAGTGAAACTCTGTCTCACAAAAAAAAAAAAAAAAAAAAAAATTAAGATGATCAAATTTGTGTTTTTTATAATTTAAAAAAAGGGAAGTTGTTCTCTATGAAACAGACCCCAGCCAGGTCAGGTCTCCCTGACTCAGTTCTACGAAAGTGATAGCTAAGGACTCAGGATAAAAAAAAGTTTAGCAATGTCTTCCAGACTTAAAGATCCTTCTCAAAATGCATACCTCAATATGGGGTCAATTTAAAAAAAAAAAAAAAGCCCAGGTCACCCTCTACACTGCTAAAGAAAGCCCTTGAGTTCGCAGCTCTAGCTACCGCACTGCAACAGCTGCCTCATAAGCGCTATCAGACGCCCTCATATGCTCAGCCAGAGCAGCCCCTCCCTCACAGCCAGCCCCAAGCCTGTCATCTGTTGTTCCCTGCCATGCACAGTGCTTTGCTGAGCCTGGGCATCTCTGGGTATCATGCTGACATCATGCCCACGTTCCCTCACTGTCCTCATAGCTACTGCTTGAGAGGCCATCCAAAGAGCCCAGAAGCTTTCCTCAACTTTAGCTATATGATCCCTGCCACATTGTCCTTCCTCTGGAGTAAGTGGTGGCTCACTACAGAAAGGAACACCTGCATTGTCAGATTACTGGGTGAAAGTTTCTGCTGAACAAAGCTGCAATGGGCTTCCCTCTGTGTCTCAAGCAGCTGCCCGTAGACAAGGCCTCTTGAACATTCACTTTAGCCCAGCCCTGACAAGAGCCTCCCGTGGATTACCCTGTGCTGCCGTCTTCGCTTAGGCGGCCATCTGTCAGCCTATGAGAGGCTTACAGCTTCCACCAGCAGCAACACCAAGATCACCCTGCTCCAGGCAAAGGTATCCACAACATCACAGTCTCTACAAAATTATCATAAAAAATATGTACAAAAAGAATAAAAATGCATTCCCTACTATCTGAATTGTGAAATACCATCTTTGGGGGCAGCTAAAGAACCAAACCAAACAAAAACAACTCTCAAACCTCCAAAATAACAAATCCTTAATGCATCAGTCTATGGAAAAAAGGTAACCTACCCCATCGGCCATCAGAAAGTGGACACCCTTGCGATCTGTGTTATCCAGGACAAAATTCCGAAAAGCAGAGATGTTCTCTGGGCGGGTGATATCTCCATCTCCATCAATCCCACCTTCACCTGTCAGAACACAAGAGTCATCGCGAGTTTATATACATGTCAGGAGCTGGGACATGAGTGCTCTGGGACAGTGAACACAGGCATCAGGTGTCTCAAGAACTAGGGCCCATCCTGCAAGGCTGCCTTACAGTGATGGACCAGGAGGAAGAATAGTACCCTGCTATAATGAAACACAGTCCCCAAGGAGCTGAACAGCCAAAAGTCATCAACTCTTGGGCCTTTCTCTTCAAGACTCAAGTTCTGTTTAAGGCACCTTCATGTAGGCATCAATTTTTTAATAAGTACCGTTCAGAAAGGGCTTAGGATTTGCTGCCAAATTACAATCAACATAGAGCAGAGGGATTGCTATGGGGTTGCTGAGCTGTCTGCAACCGAGTGCATTCTGCACCTGGCACAAAGGACTAGAGATGAGTGTGGGGTTTGTATTTGTTAATAATCCCGCCAGTTCTCAGCCAGAGATCAGGCAGTTTCATTATCTCCTGCCACCACAAAAGCAGACTGCTCCTGAAAGGAGGAATTAATATGGCCTTGATGAGAATCTGCTGAGGGACTGTTTGACCTGTATTCTGCAGGCTCAGGGTAAAAAGGGATAGTCCAGAGGGAACCAAGATTCTGACATGAACTGTGAACCCCAGGGTAAGAGACCTAGGAAAGAAGACATGGCATGTGGCCAACAACTGCTTCTGACCTGAAGTCCCCATAGAGGGGCTGTCCCTCATACCTCCTAGTACCCTCCTCAGTGTCCCTACCATAGTAGGGTTCGAAGAGTTCACTGGAGGCAGAGTAGAAGTCCTCCAGCTTGAAGTCATTAGGGCCCTTCAAAGTCATTCCAAAGCCCTTTGCATGCCACTTCTTCCTCCACAGCACATACTCTGAGAAGCCACCTGGGCCTGCGCAGACATCAGCAAAGTACAGAAGCTCAGCTTCCCGGTCCTTCACCAGTGGCTTCTGCAAAGGCAGGTGGAAGACAGGAGAGGAAGGAAAACAAGACAGCTCAATGGAGAACAGGAAGAAGAATGCAGGGAGTAAAATAAGCCTTTCAGCAAGTACAATCCAGACCTCCCACCATGGCTATAGCACCCAGGAAATATATCGTCTGGTGATCAATGCCCTTTAGTATTGCCTCACCCACCCTCAAAATACCCACAACACCTATCACATCACCAGGCCTAGCTCACACTCCTCATAAAAACATCTTCATTGAGCTAGGCACAGTGACTCATGCCTGTAATCCCAGCACTTTGGGAGGCCTAGAGGCAAATCGCCTGAAGTCAGGGGTTTCAAAACCAGCATGGTCAACATGGCAAAACCTCATTTCTATTAAAAATACAAAAAATTAGATAGGCATGGTACTGCACGCCTATAATCCCAGCTACTCGAGAGGCTGACGCAGGAGAATCGCTTGAACCCAGGAGGCAGAGGTTCCAGTGCGCTGAGATTATGCCACTGCACTTGAGCCTGAGACAAAGCAAGACCCTGTCTCAACAAAAACAAAAAACATCTTGATTAGTATCTGACTGTGCATTTTTTATATCTCAGTGTGTTTTCCTCACCATAGCCTGCCTTTCAACGGTCCTACTGTATAGAATACGCCCCACATTACAGATAGGGAAAAAGAGGCATGAAAATACAAAGTCACAAAGTAATCTGTTCACAGCCAGTCTGCCACAAAGCGAAATTAGAGTCCAGTTGACCTAACCTCTAGACTCAGGTCTTCCTGTCCAACCAAAGGCTGGGGGGCTCTAACATCACGCTCTCCCAGCCACAGGAACCCCCCCTTTCCCCATCATAACCTCTGTCTTCCTTTCTCCCCTTCCTCCTTGGCTCTCCCAACCACCTTTTAAAAAAATCCCAATTAACTTTTTATTTTGGAATAATTTTACAGAAAAGTTGCCAACATAGTACAGAGTTCCCGTACCCCTCACCCAATTTCCAGTTTTGTTAACACCTTACACCATGGTATGTCTGTCAAAACTAAAAAACCAACATTAATACATTACTATTAACTAAACTCCAGACTTCATTTAGATTTCACTAATGTCCTTTTTCTGTTTGGAATCCAATCCAAGATACCACATTGCCTTTGGCCTCCCTCCTTTTTTGCACTCCCTTTCTTCTTCTCCTGCCCAGTGCTGGGTTGGGGTTGGGGTAGGACACAGTTGGAAGCTGACAAGACAAGAGAGGGAAGGAAATGCTGGTGTGCCACAACAGCAGCTTCCAGGCAACCCCTGGAGCACCCAACCAACTCAGGACTGACTATCATTTGAATTTTGGCATCATTACATTTGTAGTCCCTTGAGTAGCCTTCGCTCTCTCCCCTACTTTCTTTCTTTCTTTTTTTTTTTTTTTAATTGGCAAGGTCTCGTTCAGCCCAGGCTGGAGTGCAGTGGTGCAGTAATAGCTCACTGAAACCTTGAACTCCTGAGCTCAGGCAATCCTCTTGCCTCCGCCTCCTGAGTAGATGGGACCCCAGGCACACACTACCACACTTGGCCAATTTTTTTTTTTTTCCTTAGAGGCAGGTTCTTAGCATATTGCCCAGGCTGGTCTTAAACTCCTGGGTTCAAGCAATCCTCCCACTTCAGCCTCCCATAGTGTTGGAATTATAAGTGTAAGTCACCATGCCCGGCCTGGCTTTATCTCTTAACCTCACATTTATGCTAAACCCGGTACTGGCCCATATTGTATGTTTATACTTCCCTTATATGCAAATACTAGGTAAGCTCTTACCCATACCTGAGTCCTAGACAGTGAAATTCTACCCACCCTCCACAGCAGAGAGGATGAACCATTTGCACTGGTAACAACAAAAGGCTGAGTTCTGAACTGCAGAAGACTACAGCTGGCCTCAGACCATGATGAACACTCAGCCAGAAGGGGCTTAGGAACCCTAGTCTTCCCTCTCTACAGGTTCAGCATGGCTGAGTGCTGGTCCAGAGTTCGGCAGCTGCTAGACAACGATCAGAAAGCTTTAGGGGAAACACTCACGAGAAAGAAACAGACATACAAATGTTTACAGCCCAATCACTTCTAGGTGAGATGGGCCTTTCTTCTGATGATAGCTATTCTAGCTTTATCAAAATACTGAAAAACTCTCTGAAGAAAGTGTCTTTAGCTAAAAATAAATGTCATCATTCTGTAACAAGCCCACTCCAGGCATGCTGGGTCTTAATCATTCTTTCCCCACTTCTCTAGTACACTGCCCAAGGATTCTTTGTTCCTGAGCCATCAATTATTCACCTTTTTGGATTATATTCATTTGCACACAAAAAAGACCTAATGGTATTTACCAAGAACTTTATGTAGCATCTTCAGGTCAGGCCTGGTGATGAATCAGGGGTCATGAGTTTAAGCCCTGTACATACTGCAAAGAGGGAAAATAAGGTTCCGTGCCACCGGCCGTGCCCTCTGACTGAACCACTAGTCCAAAGGAAGACTGGGAGAAGGATGCAGAATGATCAATGAGAGCGTTTCAGCCCTGAAAAGGGGGCATGAGTATGACCTCGTTCTGTGTGGCATTTCAAGATGTGTGGCCCTTACAGGTCATGGCCAGGAAGTCTCTTCACAGAAAGTACAGCTGGGGTTCTTAGCCCTGCCACTTAATGAGTGCAGTCAAGGGCAAGCACACAATTTAAGTCATTAAGCTTGAGCTTGCTCAATTATAAATTGGGACTAATGCAGGTATTTCTCCAGGCTGTTGTAGGACTAAATAAAGTATCCTATATTGAAGAGCTTTATAAACTGTAAAGTATTAAATAAATGCAAGATGCTATTATAGTCAATCAGATCAATTTCCTCAGAGTCAAAGCTCTTATCCTTTTCCATGTTTTTCTCTTTCCAGTGCCAAGTACAGCAGTACCCCACACTCAATAGAAATTAGAAAGATGATGTCTACTTTCCTCTTAGCTAGGACTGAAACTTAAAGGTCTACATTCAGTTGCCTTCTGCAATGCTTCACAGACAACTTTGTCTCAACAACATCCCCAGGCATGCGAACCCCTGACATAATGTAACAGTTTATAATATGCTTCCATATATGCCAAGGATCTAAATTTCCCTCCTTCCTTTGTCTCTTTCAGTTATTGCTTATAGCTTCTTTTCTTCTCCTTGCCCCTTTTCTCCTTTTACCATAACCTGCAGCACCACAGACCTACTTAAAAACTTCAGAGTCCGCTCTCCCCATCACCCGTGACCACCACCTAACCTCTCCACATTCCAAGCTTCAAATTCTCCTGCTCTTCGTCTGTAATTTGCCTGACCCGAGAGCCACTATGACCCTAGCAAACGTGGGTATGTGCCTGGGCCTTCAGCCACTCTTGTACTGCTGGAGACCACTCTAGTGTCTCTGCTTGCCTGAAAACCACACGGAGCCTGTTGGGCTTGGCTGTAACTCTGGTCCTCAGGGGAAAATGCAAATGAAAAGAGAGAGGAAAACACTTTTCCTAGGGACTCGAGAGAAATCGCTTTTTTTATAGTGGAGCATAGAGAAACATCTCTGAAAGGGCAATTCTCCATGGCCACTAACAATCAATTCAGGTCAAGAAGCTGCCCGAAGCATTACAAACACGGCTGCCTTCTGCTATGTAAGTGACATCTCTACCCTAGACCTGAATGGTACAACCCTGGTGCCTACTTCATTTTCATGACAGCAAAAGGCAATAACCAGATACCAGCTGCTGGAGGCATTTATATTAGCCAAAAAAGACACTGTGACTTCCCATCAGCTTGACAGAGCTCCTCTGCCAGGCAGGGGTTTAAAGGAAATCATTTGGAGCTCAGAAAATTACATCAACATTATATCAACTTAATTTTCTCAAGATGCTAATTCCAAGAGCCCTTTTGTGCTGCCTGCTGGTATTGGAGAATGGAGAGGGAGGCCTGGGAGCGAAAAATGAGTAATGGCTAGAGGGGCTACATGCCAGTTTTTCCAGCAAGGAGGAAGCAGTTAGGTAGGTGGAGCTGAAACATTAAAGAACTTGAAAAATAAGCTTCTTTAGCCAGTGGATAATCAGAGGGTCTAGCGGAATGAGAGTGAGTGAAGCAGAAACAAGTTTGGGGATAGTAGCTGGCTCTTGGCCCTGTCACTGACAAAGAAAAGTAACTTTCTAGTACCAGTAAAAATGCTTTGAAACCCTTAAGGGAATTCTAGAATGAAATTTCCTTTTTTTTTTCTTTCTCTATCACTATGGAGAGTCTATGTTCAGAGAAATGAGATGCAGCAGAGTAGAAAATCATTTTACTTTACCACTTCTTGAGAAGGGCCAAAGCCTTATAATTACGATCCCACACAAAGCTTGTTCAGAGAAGCAGGGAAGGAAAGCCGCCCAGTCTGAAATTATAGTCTTAGTGCTGGGACAAATCTTAGGAGTCTTTTGGTTCTACCCCAGCCCTCTGGCAGGTTGGTAGGGCTCACTTCAGAATGAGGCAGCTGAGGTCCAAAGAAGGCCTAAACTTAAGTGATCCCTCCTGCTTCGTAAGTGCTACCTCCTTCCCCACCACATTCTAACAACACAGGCTAGATTTTCAGATACAATACTGATTTTAAACAGATCAGTGAAAATGCCCACTGAAATGCCCACATGTCATCCAACACTCAAACCATATTCCCAGTACTTCCTTCTCATATCAGAAATAGCACCCAAATCAAGTGATGTCACCAAGTTTCAGTTTGGAAAATAAGCTTGCAGTATAAAAACAGTATTCACCCTTCTGTTCTACCTTCCGTAGGGTTAAAGGCTTGGATTCCAGGACTGAAGCCCTGGAGACAACTGCTTCACTCCTGGGACCACAGAAGCACTGTGGGACTCTACCTGAGGAGCTCAAAGCAAAATATCTCCCTCACATAGCCAGAATACTCTCCTAGCATTGAAGAAATGGCAATGGCTGAACCACTGAAGCTTAAGCCCACTTGGCACCATGAATTCAGAAGCAGAATCTTGTTCTCACCCCATAAGAGTCCCTCGGATTTGTGAACATGCGATCAAACACAAAATCCATGTTAGCCATCTTCATTGCTGCCCTGCAAAAAAGCAAGACAGTAAAGTACCAGATGTATGGAAAACTAGGCTCAGTTGAAAAGGTGGAGCAGGGAGCATCAAGGGAGGGAAGGAAAATGTCGGCAAACCTGTTTAGAAAGAAGACTCCTCGGATCATCTCGTAGGGATTGGCCCGAGTCCGAGCTCGTCGCATCTCTTCCCCATCCAGGACATCAAACACGCTCTGTCCAGAGAATCAGAACCTCAAGGTGAGCTCCAGGATAGGAAAGGGGTCGTAAGAGCCTGCAATGCCCATCTCACAGCCCTCCATGGAACAAGGTTCCTGTGGCATGTCAGCTCTGAAATGTCTTATTGTGTGACCCTAGACAGGTTGCTCAATCACTCTCTCAACTACCTTGCCAGTAAACTGGTTAAAAAAAATGTAAGCAGGTGCCTGGCACATGGCAAGTGGTTAAAAAACAGCACCCATTGCTACATACAGAGTTACCTCTGCGCATTGCTAATCCTCATAGCAAATCTGTTTCTCCATCCCATACCAGCAGCTACTTTCCAAGGGATCAAAGCTCTGATATGAAGGTTTACCTGACTAGAGCTCATTTACAAAGAGGAGAAACAAGCAAACCAGACCAGGGTTTTCTGATGGCACCTACTACACAGTAGCGATCCTTTCTCCTCTCAAACTCCCCTGATCAATTTCCTCTCTAGATAAAGAAATCCTCATATTATCTGAGTTCTAGTCACCTTACGGATATTCCCAACCCTATGCCTGCCAAAAAATAAAATCTCTGAGGCTGGTCTGAGGCCTGCCTTCTCCAACCCATTTCCTCCTCAGAGTTTCCCTGGCTCATTCTGACCCAGCCAATGTGCTTCCCAATAAGGCCAAAAAGTGTCAAGGGGGGCTAACATTCACCTATGTACTTCACACCACTATTTCACTTAGCTCTCACAGCAACCATGAGAAATGAGTATTTTCTCCTCATTTTATAGATGAGGAAATTCAAACTCACAGACTAAAGGAACTGGGCCAAGGTCACACAGCAAAAGAATTGTAGATTTTGGATTTGAATGCACCTTTTGCTATACCAGGCCCTCTCAGGATTACAATGAACAGACACACTGCAGTTAGGTGGATCTGTTCTTGGCTGCTGACCACAGGGATGGCACAACACCACAGAGCAGGGCATACAAACCAAGCTACACATCTAATCTCCTGGAAAAATCTTAACTTTAGCTTTCCCACAACAAACCCAAAGAAGAAATGGAAAGTCCAACAAATCACCTCCCACAAGGTTTTCATATCTGGTTCTAGCCACAAGGCCTTACCTTACACTGCAACACACTATGAAGTAGCTCTTCCCCACAAAACTCTGTTTCATCTTCAATAATCATCTTTCTCTACAGGGAGAAGAAAGCAGTAAGTAATGACCACATGTGACTGCATTTGTGGGGGACAAATGAAGAAATTAGGGTTTCAACTGAATAGAGCAAGAAGGGACTTGGTTCTCTGCCAAGAAATATCAATTCCTGAAGGGTGGGAAAGAGAAAATCCTAAATCCCTCTGGCTCTTCACCAGATGGCTGTAAGACGAAGCACCCCCTCACCCCTCCACCAGAAGCTCTGAGTACAGCACCATATGGACACAAAACTCATGAATACTGAGGCTAGGAAAACCAAACAGGAAGGAGACATTCAAGCTGTCTACCCCTGGAGCACAAAGACAGAAGGATGGGGAATGCCTCAAATGACAAAAGCTTGTCCTTCTACCAGGAAACCTCTCACTCTGTGATGAGTACAAATGCATGATACCAGACACTGACCTGGTAGCATTTCAGAAACAGGGACTCACCGGGCACAGTGTCTCACACCTGTAATCCCAGCACTTTGGGAGGCTGAGGTGGGCAGATCACCTGAGGTCAGGGGTTCAAGACCAGCCTGACCAACATGGAGAAACCCCATCTCTACTAAAAATACAAAATTAGCTGGGTATGCTGGTGCATGCCTGTAAGCCCAGCTACTCAGGAGGCTGAGGCAGAATTGCTTGAACCCGGGAGGTGGAGGTTGCAGTGAGCCGAGATCACGCCATTGCACTGCAGACTGGGCAAAAAGACGGAACCTCTGCCTCAAAAACAAACAAAAAAAAGAAAACAAGGACTCTAAGGGGTCTCACAGGGATAGCACGTGCAACCCCCATATGAGTGAAGCCACCTCTAAACCAGTGAAATTCAATCTCTTTGGTCTCAGATTTTACACTCTTAAAAATTATTGAGGATCCTAAAGAATTTTTGTTTATGTGGGATAGATAATAGATAGGTAATCCATTATCTAGAATTCAAATAATTCTATTATTAGAAATTAAAACTGAGATTTTAAAAATATTTTAAAGGTCAGTTTAAAAGACTAATGTTAACATAAATATTTTTCATGAAATATAACCGTATTTCCAAAAAAAAAAAAATTGAGAAGAGTGGTAGTGTTTTCCACTTTTATAAATTTCTTCAGCAACCGGCTTAATAGAAGGCCAGATTTTCCTCTCTGCTTTTTCGTTCAGGCTACTGTAATATCAATCATAGTCTCTGGAAAACTCCACTGGACACTTGTGAGAGAATGAGGGTGAAAAGTGCAAATAAGTTTTCAATATCATTATGAAAATAGCTTTGCCCTTGTGGACCCCCTGAAAGGATCCTGGAGATCCCCAGGAGCATATACACTTGGAGACGTGTCCTCTAGACCATATTGATTTGGTAGCCATCTACTTTATTCTCACAATTTTCCAGAATAAAATTAAGCAAATTCCCTCTGTAACAATTCCCTCATTACTTTCTAAGGACAGGGACAATGTCTTTTCATCTAGCAGCGATAAGAATATACACAGATATAAAAGCATTCCTTTCTTTAATTTTGTAATTCTTTACTGTGGAATAGCTCAAAATGTCAGTTCTGTTTTAAGTAATAGAATTGAAAACTGAGCAAGGAAACGTAATTTGGATTATAAAATTCTTGCTTTAATAAAAATTCCTTAAACAGTGGAAAAAAAAAAAAAGAATATACACAGATATATACATGATAAGCCACTTCAAAATACCTGCCACATCTCCAGGGGAGCTTATTTGTAAAGCTCATGACACAGCTTTACTCCTACCAACCTGGATGGTCAGATTCACATTTTTCTTAAACTGCAAGTACATGTACATACCAGACTTGAGCAAGTGAAAAGTTGGGAGAGTGCCAAGGTGTCAGGGTACATTTTCCTGAAAGCCTACCTTTCCCACAACCATCCAGTCACTCATTTCCTTAGTGTCAGGAATTTCAGTGGTACATTCCGGGAACCATGACACCTGCTCACAGGCACTGGGCTGCAAACAAAAGAGAGGCATGTAAGACAGGTATGACAGACCCTCAGAGCTAAACCCCCACTCATCAGGACTTCCCCAAAACAAGCAGAAGGGACCGAGACAGACGGAGAAGGGTCCAGGTTGCTGAAGCCAAATGCAATGGTCAGACATATGAAGTGAGAGCCAGAATTCTAAAATTAAACTTCTAAAGGCCAGCTCCAATTCTGGTTAGAATCCTTAGAAACTTCCCAAAACTAAGGTTTCTTTCATTTGTTCCATTATTATTAAATGAATACCTACTATGTGTTAAGTGCTCAGAATGAAGAGCTAAATAAGACATGGTCCTTGGCAAAAGGGGTTTGCAATCAGAGCAGTGGAGACACAGAGAAGTAAATAGTCAGTAATCACGTTGATGTAGGTCTATCACAAAATAAGTGTTATCAGAAAGACTTAATGGCAGTGAGTCAACTGGGCGCAGTGGCTCACGCCTGTAATCCCAGCACTTTGGGAGGCCAAGGCAGGTGCATCACCTGAGGTCAGGAGTTCGAGACCAACCTGGCCAACCTGGTGAAATACTATCTCTAAAAAAAAAAAAGGTTAAATAAATAAATAAAATTAAAAAAAAAAAAATAGCAATGAGTCTCATCTCCCAATGCCTTTCAAAGCGTTATTCACAAAACAACCCAGTAACTGGTAAAAAGGATTCCTAAATTCTAAAACACAACAAAAACTGACATCTCTAATGGCTGCTTCCTCTTAATTTTTCAATTACCTTCCTATCAGGCCAAAGCAGTGGTTCTCACTCTGGCTGTGCATTAGGATCATCTGCAGTGCTTCTAAAAAGTATTGATGCAGCTGGGTGTAGTGGCTCACGCCTGTAATCCCAGCACTTTGGGAGGCTGAGGCGGGCGGATCACTTGAGGTCAGGAGTTACAAGACCAGCCTTGGCCAACATGGCGAAACACCATCTCTACTAAAAATACAAAAATTAGCTGAGCCTGGTGGTGCACATCCCAGCTATTTGGGAGGCTAAGGTGGGAGAATCGCTTGAACCCAGAAGGTGAGGTTGCAGTGAGCCAAGACCGCACCACTGCACTCCACCCTGGGCAACAGAATGAGACTCCATCTCTAAAATAAAACAAAATTAAATTAAATTAATAAAAAATACCAATGCCTGGGGCTGGACACAGTAGCTCACGCCTCTAATTCCAATGCTTCAAGAGGCCAAGATAGAAGGACTGCTTGACGCCAGGACTTTAAGACCAGCCTGGGCAACACAGCAAGACCGTCTCTACCCAAAAAAAGTCTAAAAAATTAGCTGGGCATGGTGGCACACTCCTGTAGTTGCAGATACTCAGGAGGCTGAGGTGGGAGGATATCTTGGGCCCAGGATTTCAAAGTTGCAGTTAACTGTGTTGGTGTCACTGCATTCCAGCCTGGGCAACAGTGCAAGACCTTGTCTCAGACAAAATTTTCAGAAGTGTTGATGCCTGAGATCCACCTCCAGAGTATAAGATTCTACTGGTCTGAGGTGAGGCCTGGGGATAAGTTTTTACAAGTTCCCAGATGATTCTACTATGCAGGCAGCACTAAGTGCCGCCAGGATAGAGAAACAAGGTTTATAAAACCTAAACAGGTGGCTAACCTGCATGGCAGCTTCACATATTGGCTCCCAAGCAAGTGTGGAGAAGAGAGTCACCATTACAAATTGAAGCAATGTGATTAAAAGTAATATTCCATGCTCTGAAAGCCATAAAATGGTATCACAATGCCAGGTCTTGAGGGCAAGCCAACCAGCATCAACAGAGAAAAAGTTGAAAAGAAAAATTACTGAAGCCTTTTGTCTATGAATCTGGCAGTGAATCATAGCTTCTTCTCCTGTTGAAATCTATCACCTTTAAGCATAAAGGTGATCGATTTGGTTATAAATTATAAATTCTAAAGAACAAGAAGTTCATATAAACTTGGAAAGAAAAAGCAGATTTAGGCCAGGCATGGTGGCTCATGCCTGTAATCCCAACACCTTGGGAGGCCGAGGTGGGCGGATCATGAGGTCAAGAGATTGAGACCATCCTGGTCAACATGGTGAAACGTTGTCTCTACTAAAAATACAAAAATTAGCTGGGCGTGGTGGCGTGCGTCTGTAGTCCTAGCTACTCGGGAGGCTGAGACAGGAGGATTGCTTGAACCCAAGAGGCGGAGGTTGCAGTGAGCTGATATCACGCCACTGCACTCCAGCCTGGCGCCTGGCGATGGAACAAGATTGCCTCAAAAAAAAAAAGAAAAAAGAAAAAGAAGATTCAATCTCCCTATGGGAGTCTGATTATTATGATTACCTACAGAGTGGACTTTGTCCAGAGGGTCATACCTTGTCCTCTGCATTCCTAGCCTACAGTAGCCACTGAGCACTTATCCTATGGTAATCCCAGGATTGGATATTCACTCATGGACACCCAGACTCACCTGCTGTGAGGAAATGGCTGCCAAATGACTCGTGACCTAACTCTTACTTACAAACTTTTACTTACTTATAGGGCTTTTGGTTTGTTTTTGTTTTTGAGACAGAATCTCACTCTGTTGCCCAGGTGGGACAGCTGGAGGGCAGTGGCATGATCTCAGCTCACTGCAACCTCTCCGTCCCGGGTTCAAGTGATTCTCCTGCCTTAGCCTCGCAAGTAGCTGGGATTACAGGCGTACCTCACCACGCCCAGCTAATTTTTGTATTTTTAGCAAAGATGGGGTTTTGTCATGTTGGCCAGGCTGGTCTCAAACTCCTGACCTCAGGTGATCCACCCACTTCAGCCTCCCAAAGTGCTGGAATTACAGGTGTGAGCCACCACGCCCGGTCTATAGAGTATTCTTTGTAAAAGAAAAACTGAATTACAGTAAATGGTAACTGGATCAGCCTCATATTACAAAAAGGAACTTCAATAGTCTGTCTCCATTAAAAACAGAAAATTAAAGGGCAAATAACAGATTCTGAGTTTAGCAAAGTTAGTTCAACTTCTGCCCAATGAAAGGATATAGACTCTTGGATTTTGTCTTGTTTTGTTTTGAGACAGAGTCTCACTCTGTCGTGCAGGCTGGAGTGCAGTGGTGCGATCTTGGCTCACTGCAACCTCCGCCTCCCAGATTCAAGTGATTCTCCTACCTCAGCTCCCAAATAGCTGGGACTACAGGTGTGTGTCACCGCACTGGGCCAATTTTTTGTATTTTTAGTAGAGATGGGGTTTCACTATGTTAGCCAGGATGGTCTCCATCTCCTGACCTTGTGATTCGCCCGCCTCGGCCTCTCAAAGTGCAAGGATTACAGGGATGAGCCACTGTGCCCAGCCTGGACTCTTGTCTTAACACGAATGAAGACGTGAAAAGCACCAGGTACTTCTGAGATGAAAGGCCACACCCAGAAACCAGCTGCAGGTATCTATCCACATTGCCAGTCTGCTGGTCTCATCACCCACAACTACAAGGCAACAGCGAGACCAGCCCCAGAACCCATGAGCTCCTCATTTGTCAGAATCTTACTCGGAAGGCTTATTAGGCTTCTATCACGTGCAGATTCATAGGACTTCTTTCCTGAACAGAAACACCAGGAAGACAAATAAAATATGAATTTTCCAGAGTTCAGAGCCACATCTGAAGCTGAACTACAGCAACTATGTGGAAAGCTAGACATTTGAGTTCCAATTTCTCTAGTTTCAACTCTGTAATGGTAATATCTCATTGTTATTTTTAGGTGTTTTTTTTTTTGAGACAGAGTCTCGCTGTCACCAGGCACCAGGTGACAGGCTGGAGTGCAATGGTGTAATCTCGGCTCACTGCAACCTCCGCCTCCTGGGTTCAAGCGATTCTCCTGCCTCAGCCTCCCAAGTAGCTGGGATTACTGGTGCATGACACCATGCCCAGCTAATTTTGTATTTTTTAGTTGAGACAGGGTTTCACCATGTTGGCCAGGATGGTCTCCATCTCTTGACCTCATTATCTACCTGCCTTGACCTCCTAAAGTGTTGGGATTACAGGCGTGAGCCCCGCGCCTGGCCTATTTTTAGGTGTTTTTATTGTACCCACTACAAATCCTTTGTGGAATAAGATAGGACATAAATAAATGAATAAAATAAAATCTCACATTATCTGTGCCATGAAAAGGGATATTGGGAGTTTCTTTTGGTCTTCATGATGAAAACAAACTGGTACCCAAGTGGATAAGCAATTAAATCCATAGTAGAAAAGCAATGTGGCATAAAAAAGCACCTATTTAGAACCTGGATGGTATAAACCTGTGGAGGTACAAGGACCTTCTTAGAAGGCACCTACTCCAGTCACTCATACAATGAGAGAGTGGGTGCACTTGGCCTGCGTAAACACTTTCAGCAGAGAGAGCACACTGTCTCATGAGGTATCCTAGTCCATTAGTGGAGAGCTCTACCTATTTATTAAAGTTTTTTTGTTTTGTTTTATTTTGAGACAGCCTGTCGCCCAGGCTGGAGTGCAGTGGCACGATCTTGGCTCACTGCAACCTCTGCCTCCTGGGTTCAAGTGATTCTCCTGCCTCAGCCTCCTGAGTAGCCGGGACTACAGGTGTGTGCAGTACCATGCCTGGCTAATTTTTTGTATTTTCAGTACAGATGGGGTTTCACCGTGTTAGGCAGGATGGTCTTGGGAATCTCCTGACCTCATGATCCACCCACCTTGGCCTCCCAAAGTGCTGGGATTACAGGCATGAGCCACCACGCCTGGCCTTATTAAAGGTTTTAAGGAGCCATCCACTACCTTCCAAGCCTCTTCTACTCACTGATCTCAGACAGTCCTAATGCAAGAGGAAATCCACATCCCACTATCTTCCCCAGCCTTCTGTCTTCCATTCTGGATATCCCCAGTACTTTCCATGTAAAAAACCAGTTACACTTTGCTCTTACTGCCTCTGGAAATTTCTAGTTTATTTATATGGCTTCTTAAAACCATGCATCCAAAAACACAAGTGGCTTTTCCATCTCCTCTTCCCCTATAACAGTTACCTCTGGCTCATCTCGCCAGTCCACGTTCAGCTCCTGGTCAAAGCCCCGGAGTGTCAGACCCAAGCCTCTTCGACCTTTCTGATTGGAAGCCTCAACGATGTCCTTCCGACCCTGGCTGTATTTACCCAATCCTTCACCTTCCCTGAAGCCCATCTTGGCCTGAAAAAGAGAAGTAAGGGAGCACAATTAATTAGGTCCATCACATGCCAGACAGTGTGCTAAAACCTAAGAAATACAGATGAGTAAGGTCTAAAGTTTGTCTTAGCCTAATGAAAAAAAAACGCATAAATAAATAACTGTAGTATAACTGTGGGCCCAGTGGCTGGCTGTTCTGGAGGTTGAAGTCTAGGGCAACCAGAAACTGGATAAACGAGAAGGGACTTCATAGCCATAATTAAAAGCACCCAGAGTACTTGATGAATCTCATTGGACATTCGCACAACTTACTCTTCCAGCTAATTTGTCTGATTAAGTGAGAAGCAGATCTAGAGTACAGTTGATAAAGAGAACATAATTTAAAAGGGAACCGCTTCAAGCAGTAACTTCTGCCTTACCCTTAACCAGTCAAACAGCCTTACTAGGCAAGGATAAGTGGCTTTGCAGGAGCCCACTTAAGAGATGAACTATGAAGTCTCAGCAGATTTTAGGGAAAAAAAAAAGATGAACTAAAAACTTGGCTCATGTAAAAGTGAGGTATGGGAGGTACTATAACACCCTGGGACAAACGCCGTTTTTTAAATGTCACAACTATCTATAAGCTCACACTAAACTTTAGGGTTACTGAGTCCAGGTATACATCCCAAAGATTAGAGACTTGAATCCCAAACCCCACAGACTCCTGCCTAATTTAAAAAGAACTCCAATCCTAAGAAGATCTAAATTTCCCTAGAGGGTCTATATCCCCTCTGAAAGAGGTATTACCAGCTAAAGAGCTGTATGGAATTCCTATCGTAGCCACAAATACTAATCCCAGGTCAAACAGACTGACTGAGCCACAAGCCTACCCATCTTTAACTTCCCCAAAGCTTGTGGCCTCCAAACTAGAGCCCTGACCTATGACTTTAGCAGTGACAATTCTCATTCTTAAATGAATCCAAGAGAAAACGGAGGGGTTAACTGTAATATTTCTTTCTTTTCTTTTTTTTTTTTTTTTTTTTTTTTGAGACAAAGTCTCACTCTATTAACCAGGCTAGAACGCAGTTGATCTCAGTTCGCTGCAACCTCCGCCTCTCAGGTTCAAGCAATTCTCCTGGCTCAGCTTCCTGAGTAGCTGGGATTAGAGGCACCTGCCACCACACCCAACTAATTTTCTGTATTTTTAGTAGAGATGGGGTTTCACCATGTTGGCCAAGATGGTCTCAAACTCCTGACCTCAAGTGATCCACCCACCTCAGCCTTCCAAAGTGCTGGAATTACAGGTGTGAGCCACCGCACCCGGCCCAACTATAATATCTCTAAAGCTAGACAGAAGGTAAACTTGGATTTCTCTAATGTCTGCAAATACACTAAGGAATATGAACAGGTCTTCCTACTCACCATTCTTCTTGTGATATATCAATGAGGCATGAAAGTTGGGAAAGAGAATTGGGCCTTGTTTCAGAAAAAGAATAAATTGAATATTTCCATTTATTTTAGGCATCTGGGACTGAACAGGATTTTAGTCATTTCTTTTGAGACCACTCACTAGAGCAGGCGTCCCCAAACTACAGCCCACGGGCCACATGCGGCCCCCTGAGGCCATTTATCCGGCCCCCTGCCGCACTTCAGGAAGGGGCACCTCTTTCATTGGTGGTCAGTGAGAGGAGCACAGTATGTGGCGGCCCTCCAACGGTCTGAGGGACAGTGAACTGGCCCCCTGTGTAAAAAGTTTGGGGACGCCTGCACTATAGCAAAAATTCACAGCAAGAAGCTTCTTTACCCACTGACAAACATCCATGTTTAGGGAAGTATATTCACACATGTTAATAATAAGAATTCATTACTGAGGATACGAAAAGGTGATCAAGTCCTGGACAGACCAGCAGAACCAGGCCTAAGCAGTCGCTTCCCATAGATGATACAAAAGTGATAGATACTTCTATCAAGGAGTGGGCCACACGCTGCTAAATTTCAGTAGCTGATAAGCAAAGGAAAACCTATGGCTAAACTTTCTTCTCTTCATACCAAGACAAATTGCCCTTCTTTCACTCTGCTGGTGAGGCTTGGGAAACCCAACCCAAGCACAAACATACCATAAGCTTCTGGGAGACACTATTATACATGGAGTAGCGAGAAGAAGTTCCCTCCACAAGGGAGTCTGCTTTGAATGCATCATCGAAAGAGTCAGAGCTGCGTTGTTTCCCCTCGGTCTCACTATCAGACCCACTAAGGCTTGTAGCAGATGCTGAAAAAGAAAAAGGAAAATGTTTAGGTAGGTTTATGGCACAAAATAGCCTCCAGAAGTTCAAGTTTCATTTATTCAACTACTGTCCAGTGTACACACAGCGCACATAAAGTTCATTAAATGACCCAAGGTAAAATCTATTCTCCAGGTCTTACTAGCTATGTAATCTTGGGCAAGTCACCACTGAAAGTTCCTAATAGACTTAACACAATGGGAACTCAAAAATAACAGTTTTCCTTCCCTATCCTTTCAATTTCTTCCACTACAAAACTGGGACAGTAATACCTGCTTCACAGGATTGTTTAAAGATTCAGTGAAATAGTGGGCCAGGCGTGGTGGCTCATGCCTGTAATCCCAGAACTCTGGGATGCCAAGGAGGGCAGACCACTTGAGGTCAGGAGTTCTAGATGAGCCTGGCCAACATGGTGAAATCCCGTCTCTACCAAAAATAGAAAAATTAGCTAGGTGTGGTAGTACATGCCTGTAGTCCCAGCTACTTGGGAGGTTGAGGCAGAATTGCTTGAACCCAGGAAGCAGAGGTTGCAGTGAGCCAAGATTGCACCACTGCACTCCAGCCTGGGCAAAAAGCGTGAGATTCCATCTCAAAAAAAAAAAAAAAAAAAGTACATTGTCAAATATAAAGTGTATTTACTGAAGATACGGTTGTTATTTCTGCTGTCGGTAGTTATTATTTGAATATCAATATCCAAACATTGATGCCTGATTCCATTTTCAACAATTCCATCATAAGGCTAACATATTTTTATTTTTTTATAACTGCAAAAAGAGCTTTTCAAGGGAAGATATACAAGAAGACCAATAAAAGCGATTATTCACACATTCAGGGGTTGGCACTTGGAGACAGAATACCAAAACGATTACTTGGAACTACTGAAAGCGAAAGTGAAACCTGAATTACATTTTTATATCATCAGAGTTTACAGTGGCTTTTTGTATTTTTTTGACTTAGGAACCACGTGAATATATTATCTATTACAATTTAAAATAAATATGCAAAAACTGACAGCAATGTGGCATAATTCCTTTGAAGAAGAAGGGACATCACTGAGAAAGGGTGTTGATTCAAAATTTGGCTACTTGTGAGAAGTGCTGAGGGAAAGGCATGGAAGGCGGTGTGTAAAAAACTTTTTTTTTTTTTTTTTTGAGATGGGAGTTTCGCTCGTTACCCAGGCTGAAGTGCAATGGCACGATCTCGGCTCACCGCAACCTCCGCCTCCTGGGTTCAGGCAATTCTCCTGCCTCAGCCTCCTGAGCAACTGGCATTACAGGCACACGCCACCATGCCCAGCTAACGTTTTTTGTATTTTTAGTAGAGACGGGGTTTCACCATGTTGACCAGGATGGTCTCGATCTCTTGACCTCGTGATCCACCCGCCTCGGCCTCCCAAAGTGCTGGGATTACAGGCTTGAGCCACCGCGCCCGGCATTAAAAAACTTTTTTTAATAGACCCGAGGTATTCACTATTCAGGTATTTCTAATTTGAAGATTACATCATAATTCTGAAGCCAATCTTCACTGATTCATTCATTTCCCTACCAGAACAAAAACCTGCTATAGGCTTACATTCAAGAAGAATGAAGCTTTCCTCAGCACCCCAGGCCTGCCTGATTGTCCCTCCACTGTGCTCCAGTGGCACCAGTGTCATCAGCACAGCACTCATCACACTGCCTCAGAGCCAGTTATTGTTTGCCACCTGCTGTCCCCACTGGACAGGGTCACTCCTGGAGAACAGGAACTCTGTCACAGTCAATTCTGTACCCAACACCTGGACTGAGGCTTTCCATTTAATAGAAATTAATTAAATGATTACTGTAGTAAATGTAGAGCTGTGTCAGCCAAGTGTCACTTTCCTACGGACCCACGGAGTATATGACTCCTTAAGATATTTCCTCTGATAAGTAGTGCAAGCTGTTCAGGCCTCAAAAGTTTAAGGACAGCCGGGCATGGTGGCTCACGCCTGTAATCCCGCACTTTCGGAGGCCGAGGTGGGCAGATCACGAAGTCAAGAGATCAAGACCATCCTGGCCAACATGGTGAAACCCTGTCTCTACTAAAAACACAAAAATTAGCCGGTGTGGTAGCACGAGCCTCTAGTCCCAGCTACTCAGGAGGTTGAGGCGGAAGAATAGCTTGAAGCTGGGAGGCGGAGGTTGCAGTGAGCAGAGATTGTGCCACTGCACTCCAGCCTGGCAACAGAGCAAGACTCCATCTCAAAAAAAAAAAAAGTTTAAGGATGAGAATGGGATCTCTCTATCTTAACAGAGAGGGGAACCCTCCTGGGGCTATGATTTAGTGACCCCACCCCACCACCAGCAGGTTGAGTTAGGACATCTGCCATAGTTCAGAACACTGATACTGTTTAAAAGATCAGACTAGGCCGGGCGCGGTGGCTCAAGCCTGTAATCCCAGCACTTTGGGAGGCCGAGGCGGGTGGATCACAAGGTCAAAAGATCGAGACCATCCTGGTCAACATGGTGAAACCCCGTCTCTACTAAAAATACAAAAAAAATTAGCTGGGCATGGTGGCGCATGCCTGTAATCCCAGCTACTCAGGAGGCTGAGGCAGGAGAATTGCCTGAACCCAGGAGGCGGAGGTTGCGGTGAGCCGAGATCGCGCCATTGCACTCCAGCCTGGGTAACAAGAGCGAAACTCCGTCTCAAAAAAAAAAAAAAAAAAAAAAAAAAAAAAAAAGATCAGACTACTACACTGGTTCAGCACCTATTCTATAAAAGATCATGCCATATGTAATGGGGTACTATGCAAAAGTAACCACCTCAGAGACCTTAAAAATCTAATAGATAAATATGCATTTTCAAGGATATAATATTTTACAAAAGAAAGAAAAGACAAGTGAACATGTGTGAAAGAATAAACTGAAAACCAAAATTCTGGCTCCTGATAAGTTAGCAAGCAGAAATTTTGGTTGAGAATGTCCCTGTATGAGAGGTACAAAATCTGCCCTTCCCTTTAAGGTGGCTGTCCAATTCTCTTAACAAAGAGTTGACTTGCTTACATGACCCAATCTGGCAAACATCACACAGTGCCAGAGTGTGCCACTCAGAAAACCCAGACTAGTAAGAATGAGTAACTATGGAAACTGAAAGGTGAAGTGCTATTTGTTTTGTTTCATGCTTTCCTGCATTTTCTGCGTTTGTGAGGCATCAGAATGTATTAGTTTGAAAATTAGGGTAAAAGAAGCTATAAATAAATAGATTACCATTCCAAACCTTGGGAAGAGGTTGGTTCCTTTCCAGAGAAATCTTCCAGGAGCAGATCTGAGGGGAAAGGCCTTCTAAGTGGCTCAAGACTGTTCCATGGCCTCTCATCTATTCTCTCATGCAGACAGAGATGCACTCTGCAACAGAGTCCCCACATGCTAAAGAACTGCACCTCCAAAGGTGTAGATTCTCTTCACTGGGTTGCTTTCATGCCTTCAATCTGTACTGCTTAATACAGAAACAGGTGGTACCAGAAATGTGGGCAGCTCCCTAAGCACAGCCCTAACGTTCCTTTTTGGAAGCCCAGGGATCCAGGGCCCTGACTAATCACAAAGGGTTCCTGCCACCCTAGAACCTCAGAGAGATCTTTTGTTTCCTTCTGTCATCAGAATGTCTCTGGGCAAAAATGACAGGGAGAACCAAATTTGAGTGGAAGGCTCACTAAGCAAATCAGTGGTGACTCTGGTGTAAAATTCCAGTATCAGATTTTGGCACAAAGACTTTTCCCTCCTACTTTTTCTCTCCAGGTGTTACCTAATGTACCTTATCCTTTCCAGGTGCTAAAAGTGAGGTTAATGGGAGTAAAATATCACCCTACCACACAATTCCTTGTAAGATCAAGAAGTGTGCCAGATAAGCAAAAAAGTCTTATTTTTTTCTTTTATTCATGTGGTATAGGAGGCCACTTCTTAGCTTGACATGCTTTAAGACAAAGTTCCCTAGATGACTCCTGATGTCCACAGACTGCTACAGCCACTACTTATTCTTACTCAGGGGCCTTTGAGGTAATTCTTTTCATATGAAAGGGAGACAACTGTCATGGCTGCAGCAGGAAATAAAGAGAAGGCTTAGCTTCTCAAGACTGATAAAGAATTTAGCAAACATTAAGCAGATAATTTTGTAATGAGGTTATAAGTTAATAGGAGTAATAAGGTCAGTCTATTAAACTCATTAATTTCGTTAAGAATTTGCCAAAGCTGGATGGCATTCCCATTTACCTCCCAGGGAGCTCCCCTCCTAAAACCTACCAGAGAGCCAAACAGTATTTGGGGTTTTAAGATTTCTTCTCTACCTGACAGAAATCACTATTAAGTCATTACAAGGAAGAAAGGTTCAACTTTACAGAGGAATCAAACGTCTCCTGGCTGTTGGCAAAAAAAATGACAGTGACAAGCTGGTCACAGTGGCATGTGCCTGTAGACCCAGCTACTTGGAAAGCTGAGGTGGGACGATCACCTGAGCTCAAGAGTTCATGGCTAGTGTGGGCAACATAGTGAGACCCTGCCTCTAAAAAAAGATAAAGAATATAGATACTATGTTTGAAAAATGACAGTGATAACACAAAGAGGGGGGCAGCTCCAACCACTAACAGCCAAGGTGAGCAGCACACAGATACAGAAAAACAAATTATGAATTTTAATAAACATCACATTCTGCTTAAAAACTGTTGTGAAGTAAACTCATTCCTGCTTAAAGACTCCATTTATCCTTCATGCCAGACAAATGGTAACTTGTTAGAGCAATTTAAACAGATACTGATAAAGGAAGCTTTTGATTAAGGTCATGAATCTGGGCTGACAGGAAAGCGATGGGGTTTCAGGGCAAATAGCCTATTTAGGAAAGAATTAAACCTGGTGGAGAGGAAGGCGCCTTTAATGTGATACTGGTGAAGGAGCCTGACGACTTCCAAAGCAACTTGCTGCAGGAGGGCCAGGAGCCCACACTAGATGCACAGCTAAGGAGAAAAGAAATTTTCTTGGGGTATACACTACAGTTTCCCTGTGAAAACCAAGAAGAACAAAATGACCTCATCTGCCTCTCCTTATTTCAAAAAGTTATTTGTCAGCAAATCTGCAAGAGTGTATATACACTTGAAAATGCCTTCAAATTCCTTTGAAAATACTCAAAAGATCACATGATGCAACGGCGGCCATGACAACAACATCCCTTTTCTTCTTTACTCTGGCCAGACGTCAGTCTTTGACCTGGCAATGCAGCTCCCATGTGAATAATGTAAAATAAACACACTGATTAAATAGGTCTAATAATGAGTCACCACATTGATTTAGCAGAGGAAGAAGAAATAAGGTCCGCATAGAAATAGTAACTACTGTTTTGTTTTTCTAATTGTCCTCCCTAAAGAGCATTTTTCAATCATCTATTTGAACATTACGTTCAGGTAGAAGTGGTTGGAGTAAATGGAAACATCCTTGCTTTAATACAATGATTTGAATAGGAAAGCTGCGCATACATTTCAGGGGATATGCAGACAACAAACCACCAGGGTATACTGTCCAGGAGACTCCTAAGAGAATCTGATACAGAACACGGATGATATAAATGCTAAGTACTTAATGAAATGATCTTCTGCAGACTGGAGAAGATAAGCAAAATGGAAAATGTGAAACATTTTAAGCTTCTTGGAAAACATGCTATTGTTGCCTTTTATCAGTTCTACTCAGTAACTATTTACTGAGCTTTTACTCCAGGCCCCGGCATGGTGGGAAAGAAGGCACAGCAGTCTTGCTGATAAAGATACTGCCCTCAGTTACTGCGTCAATGCAGAGCTGCCCCTTCCTAAAATAAACTAACCTATGGAAATATAGCAAGGTTGGTTTGCCTCTGCCTCCCATCTCATTTTCTGCAAATGAAAGGACCAAGTGGCCTGTTGCCAGGGACATACAAGGAAATGGACATCTCTGGATTTCCACTCTTTTTTTTCTTTTTGAGACAGGGTCTTGCTCTGATGCCCAGGCTGGAGTACCGTGGCACAATCTTAGCTCACTGCAACCTCTACCTCCTGGGCTCAAGTGATCCACCCATCTCAGCCTCCTGAGTAGCTGGATCTACAGGTGCCCACCACCATGCCCAGCTAATATCTGTATTTTTTTGTAGAGATGGGTTTTCACCATGTTCCCCAGGCTGGTATCAAACTCCTGGGCTCAAGCAATCTGCTTACCTTGACCTCTGAAAGTATTAGAATTATAGATGTAAGCTACCATGCCCAGCCTGGATTTCCATTCTATACACGTAACAGCAATAGTCAATCCTTACTGAGTCATATAGTACTACTTCTAGAGAAGGGGGAAGGGTAATCTCAATTCAGTCACAAACCTCGAAATTAAAATCAGAATGGCTTCCTTCTTTTACCTGGGAATTGTCCTTGACTTACTTCAAAGAGATGTTACTCGAGGGCAAAAGTCCCCCAAGCTCCACTTAGAACTAGATATCACTTGTTCCCCAGACATACTCTCTCTTTTTCCCTTACAGGCCATCTCTCCCAATACCCCTATCCAAGGAGATTCTATCTTCACCACGCTGCTCAAATTCCAGGTGAGAGGTAAAATTCCCTTTCCTCAAGAATCTCCAGAACCATCCAGTAAGTTTTTGCATTCCCACTCAGAAACTCCAATTACATACAGCCTTTCCCACCTACCTGGAATCTACTGTGACTTTAAAGCAGGGGTGTCCAATCTTTTGGCTTCCCTGGGCCACACTGGAAGAATTGTCTTGGGCCACACATAAAATACACTAATACTAATGACAGCTGTTGAGCTAAAAAAAAAAAAAAAATCCCCCCAAAATCTCATTATGTTTCAAGAAAGTTTACAAATTTGTGTTGGGTCCCATTCAAAGCCATCCTGGGCCACAGGTAGCCCATGGGCCACAGGCTGGACAAGCTTGCTTTAAAGGCATGAGCACCTCCACACACAAAGTTGCAAGTGAGTGTCTTATCAGCCTGGACTACAGCCGCACCCATGCTCCATTCACTGTACCACCTGTCAAGCTTCTCTCTGGACCAGCTTCTCAGTAGCAGCTGATGAGTGAGTGCCCTTCAATAAGCTTACAACACTTGTGAATAAACTGTATTTCCTACTACCCTCAAAGGGTGCTTCACACTCGTTCAGTCACCAATCTTTCATGAAATTTCATTCTAGTTTACCAGTGATCCAACAGAGGATCCAATATGCAAGCCTGCTGGTACGGCGGGTTGAATACAGTATCCCCCCTACAAAGCCTGTGAATGTGACCTTATTTGGAAATAGGGTCTTTCCAGATATCATCAAAAGATGTAATACTAGATGACAGCAGGCCCTATACGATGACTGATGTCCTTATAAAAAAAAGGGAAATTTGGATTCAGACACACAGAGGAAATGTGGAGGCAGAGATTGGAGTTACACTGCCACAAGCCAAGGAACACCAAGGAATGCCAGTAGCCAGCAGAAGCTAGAGGTGGTAAGGAAGGTCTTCCCGAGAGCCTTTGAGGGAACATGGCCCCACCGACACTTTGATTTTTGGATTCCTGGCTTCCAAAACTATGAGAGAATAAAGGTCTGTTGTTTCGTGTCACCCAGTTTGTAGTAATTTGTTACAGCAGCCCTAGGAAACTAATACAGCTGGTAAGTCAAGGTAAATGCGAATTTACCTTAAAGTATTTGAGGCAAGCTCCCAGACATTTTACCACTTCTCAGAAAGCACCTGTCAACTGTGAATAACCCTAAAAGATAGGCAAAGCAAAATGCTAGATTCAACCACATCAGTTAAATCCTTTGACGCTTAATGCAGTGAACACAGCAGTGCTCCAATACAGTTGGATGTTCCTGACCACAACTGCTGAAGGAACTGAGAAAACAATATGCATGTGAAAACTGTGAATTAGGCTCAATTGCAGCAGCAAAGAGGCCCTCCCTTACAAAAGGGCCCCAGGATCATTTACAGCTATTAAGACCACAGAGCACTCCGGTTTAAGGCAACAAGAGTGCCAACTACTGAAGGACCAACAACAGAAAGAAACTTCTGGAAAAATTACCATTTTTTATTTAAAACAAGTTTCCCCACTCTTAGCAGGAGAATGGCAGAAGGGAAAAGAGTCTGTAGCCAACATCTCTCTGTAAAGTATTCCTAATTTTCCTCAAGAGAGCAACGGACAGTGGACTACAGTGTGCTCCACCCAGACACTGGGAGTTCAAATAACTAAATGGCCAGTGGCCTCAGACCACACAAGCACGCATACCTTTTGCTCCATGATTGACAGAGGAGGGAGGTTCGTCATCGGATGTGGAGCTGAGGCTCAGGGCAAGCTCTGCAACTCTTTTTTTCTGTTTCTTGATGGGGGCAGTGCATTCTGGGTCAGTTCTCCTCTTCATCGTTAACTGTAACCATAAATCCAGACAGTCAGCTGCCCTGGGTCAGAGCCACTGGAATCAGAGCAGGGATTCCAAAGTGTAAATCATCAATGGCACGAGATTTGGCAACTCTACACATCTTCCAGTGCCAGCACTTGAATAGCCTCTTCCTAAGAATGAGATCAGCTGGGCGCGGTGGCTCAAGCCTGTAATCCCAGCACTTTAGGAGGCCAAGGCGGGTGGATCATGAGGTCAAGAGATCGAGACCATCCTGGTCAACATGGTGAAACCCCGTCTCTACTAAAAATACAAAAAATTAGCTGGGCATTGTGGCGCGTGCCTGTAGTCCCAGCTACTCAGGAGGCTGAGGCAGGAGAATTGACTGAACCCAGGAGGCAGAGGTTGCGGTGAGCAGAGATTGTACTATTGCACTCCAGCCTGGGTAACAAGAGTGAAACTCCGTCTCAAAAAAAAAAAAAAAAAGAATGAGATCTAGGAAGGATGCTAGCCAAGTGCTGGTTTTCAGTAATAGCTGTTTTACTGGAAAATGCAGTGCTCACAGACTGAGAGAGCCCTGGGCCACTGGTGTCAGATACCAAAGTCACGGATCAACTTCACAAGCTACGGGGGGAAAAGATCTTGGGTACTTGTAGTTATTCTATACCAGGTGTCCCCAAACTATGGCCCTCGGGCCGCATGCGGCCCCCTGAGGCCATTTATCTGGCCCCCTGCCGCACTTCAGGAAGGGGCACCTCTTTCATTGGTGGTCAGTGAGAGGAGCACAGTATGTGGCGGCCCTCCAACGGTCTGAGGGACAGTGAACTGGCCCCCTGTGTAAAAAGTTTGAGGACGCCTGTATACTTTTGATGCAATACTGGCCATGCATGGTAATGTATACTGAAAATGAACTATGAAATCTAATAAATATTAACCAGTATTCCCAAGGTGAAGGGACCATCCCAGAATGACTGTTTCATCAGCTCATCAGCATTATTTTTTTACCAGAACAATTAAGAAATTACATAATATGAAAAAAAATACTAGTTTTGGTTTACTTCATGTCTGAAAATATGAAAGAATTGGGAAAGTTTTTAAGCAGAGTAAGGAATGGAAGTAGTGAATGGCTTAAGACTGAGGAAGCAGAAAAGTGGGAAAGTTATTGGGACTGGAGGCAGCCATGCTGTAGAACTGAGTTACAAAAACAATAATTTTAAGGACAGAAATCCACCTCCACAAAAAAGAATGGAAACAGGCCGGGCACAGTGGCTCACGCCTGTAATCCCAGCACTTTGGGAGGCTGAGGCAGGAGGATAACCTGAGGTCAAGAGTTCAAGACCAGCCTGGACAACATGGTGAAACCCAATCTCTACCAAAAAAACACAAAAGTTAGCTGGGTGGTGGCACATGCCTGTAGTCCCAGCTACTCGGGAGAACTGCTTGAATTACTGAGGTGGAGGTTGCAGTGAGCCGAGATTGTACCACTGCACTCCGGCCTGGGTGGCAGAACAAGACGCCATCTCAAAAAAAAAAGAAAAGAAAAGAAAGGAAACAGGCACCATGCCACCATTAATCATCCATCCCCATGGTTAGGTACATGAGATAAGCACAAGAAAAAAATGAGATAGAATGAAGTGATTATGAAACCCTGAAATCTTAAGGAATGGTCAAGTTAAAAAGCAAGCAAGGGAAGTAGTGAATACAGTGTGGCTTAAACACAACTGATTGGCTGTAGAAAACTCAGACCTGAGGACTCAATACAGAGTGGGCGACCAGCTGGGCCGTAATCCTTAGGGAAGGTGAGGTGCAGGGGGACAAGAACGGACCTACAGCATGGGTCACAGCAGAGACAGCAATAAAGTATCGAAATCCAAAAGTGTCACTGATCCCCTCAACCTCACAAAACCCTGGATCACATGTTTCAGCTCTTTCCAACTCAAGGAAGAGACAATCAACCCAATACACAATCGCCTCCTTCCTGAGAAAGCAGCCTCTTAATAAGACACAGGCAGGGGCTGTCCCAGGAAAGTAGGAAGACAGAGGCACTGAGCCAACAGAAAGCAAGACCAAGCTAAGCCACATTTCACTTTAAGCCATAGTCTTAAACACCCCCAAAAGGCCCCCAGGGTGAGCTAAAGGCTCATCACTGAGCCTGCCTCTAGCCATTGCAAGCGCTAAAAGCTTATTATTCTGAAGTGACTCTGAGGGAGACTGGAAGTAGAAGAAACTCAAAGAGGACTGTGTGGCAGTAGGTGCAAGAAGAGGGGAAACAGTTGTGTGAAAGGCAGGAGATGCGGATGCTCCTCCCCAAACCACATCACCTTAGATTTGGGCCTTGCAAATCATCTCATCCAACCCTACCATCTTCCGCTGGAAAAGACTGCAGCCGCAGAGGAGGCCACACAGCTAACCAGTGCCCAGTTCAAGTGACCCACACATGCCAGAAGAATGCTCTGGCAGGGAACTTCTAAGAGGAAGGCAGGCGGCCTGGCGCTGCCTGCTGCCTCCGCACAAAAGGGGTTCAAATCCCCTCTGCAGTCTTCTCTCCCTGGGCCTTGGTTTAGCACTGCCACCCCTTTTAAGAGAGAAGAGATGCGCTCCCATGTCCCTTCATTTGAAGATAACGTGAGCGTGTGAATGTGTGCGCAGAGACGTGTGTCAGCGGCAGCTCAGGCTTTAGGGAGCCGACGCCGGGGGTGGGAGGAGGAGGGAAGACATAAGGGGCCAGAAGGCGAGAAGAGTCACGACCGAAGGTGGGGGACCCAGGCGGCGGTGGAGGGGAGAAGGATGCTGAGCCCGCGCGCCCGCCCGCTCGCTCCCCCCGGGCCGCGCGTCGGCACTCACGCTAAGGGGAGAGAGCGAGCTGCCGGGGAGCGGAGGGAGGGGGGGTCAGGCCGACACTGTCGCCGCCGCTGCCAGAGCCGCCGCCTCCTCCCTCAGTTTCGTTTCCCCACAAACCAGCCTGGGTCCGCCAGCCGCGCCGTCGCGCTCGGGTCCCGCCCTGCGGGCCGCGCAGCCTGATGACGTCACGGGCCGCGCGGCGCCCCGATCCTCCCGAAGTCCGGTCCTGGCCGCGGGAAAAGCTGCTGAGATTCCGGCCCGCCCCACCCCTCGACCTGGGAGGTTCAGGGGCGCCTGCGCGGAAAAACCGCCCGGAAAAGGCTGCGGAAGGAGGGTAACTGAGTATCTTCTCTTCCGGCTCTGGGAAAGAGAAACCAATACAAAAATTTTAAGTGCTACGTGTCCTCGCACGACCTCATCTTACTTAATCTTATCATTACCTTCATTTGACAGACTGAGAACAAGTTCAGAGAGGTAGATGGTACACAGGCTGAAGGCAGGAGCCCAGTGTTCTTGTTCCCTTCTGTGTCCCCAGCACCAGCCTATGGGACATCTCAACAGATTTTGAACCAAGGACTGGAGGAAAGAAGGAATGCCGCCTATAGCATCTTAACCATATGGACACAGATGGCTCTTCATCCCAAACCTCTCTTCTGATTTTCAGGCCAGTATGGCCAAACGTCTGTTGGACATCCTCACTCAGTCACCTCAAATCCCTGAATTCGAATTTCACCTTATAGTTTCCCATCAGCTCACTTTTTTCCTGGTGAAGGGCGCTGCCATCCATCCTGTTGGTCCAGCTAGAAATCTGAGGAGTCGCCCTCTTCTTCATGCTCCAGAGCTTCTCATACACTTAATAGTGTTTACCTCCTAGTTGTATCCCAAATCTCTCCATTCACCTCCATCCCCATTGCCACAATTCATGCACTCACCTCCCCTCGGCAGAATTTCTCCAGGAATCTCCAATCCCCCGTGCCTGTCTCCCGTTGTGATCCCTCTAATGCGTTCTTCACAAAACCAATGTGATTTTTTAAAATAAAATTTTCAATACCTGTGAAAAGAAGGGAATTTAAAATTAATTAATTAGTTAAACCTGATCCTGTCACAACCCATCAGTGATTAAAATCAATCCATGATGCCCCATTGCTGTTAAAGGTGATGTCCTTTAAATGGTCTCCAAGACCCTCCAGCATGACCTCTTCTGCAGATGTGCCTTGTACTACTAGCCCTTAGTTCTCCCCATGCTGACTCCTCTCAGTTTGTTAAACATGCCATGTCTCGGCTGGAGCGGTGGCTCATGCCTGGAATCCCAGCACTTTGGGAGCCCAAGGCAGGCGGATCACCTGAGGTCAAGAGTTCGAGACCAGCCTGGCCAACGTGGTGAAACCCCGTCTCTACTGAACACACAAAAAAAGTAGCCGGTCATGGTGCATCTATAGTCCCAGCTACTCGGTAGGCTGAGGGAGGAGAATCACTTGAACCTGGGAGGCAGAGGTTGCAGTGAGCAGAGATCATGCCACTGCACTCCAGTCTGGGCGACAGAGCAAGACTCCATCTCAAAAACAGAACAGAACAAAACAAAACAAACCATGCCATGACTCAAGTGTTCAGCCCCCTGCCCAGATTATGCTTCTCCTCTTTGCTAGGCTAATGTCCATTTATCCCTCAGGTCTCACTTTAATGTCCTTATCTCTGGAAATCTTTTCTGATGTCACAAGTCTAGGTTGGGAGCCCCACCTCTGAGCTCCTAAAGCACTCAGTCCTTCCACTATCAAAGCACTTACTATAGTGTTGTGTAATGGCCTGTGGACTCATCTGCCTCCCCGACTCAGTTGTAAACTCTGTACAGGAAAGATTATGTTTGTCTGTCTGTCTGTATTAAATTCATAAGATTTAACAGAGGCTGAGCAGGGTGCAGTGGCTCACGCCTGTAATCCCAGCACTCCGGGAGATGGAGGCAGGCTAATTGCCTGAGCTCAGGAGTTGGCGACCAGCCTGGGTAACATGGTGATACCATGTCTCTATTTTTTTTTTAATGCAAAAAATTGGCCAAGTATGGCAGCGTGCGCCTATAGTCCCAGCTACTTGGGCGGCTGAGGCAAGAGAATTGTGTGAGCACGGGAGGTGTAGATTTAACAGAGGCTGGTGGTGGGTGCTCAATAGATATTTACTGAATCTGTGGAAGTGTGGAATATGAATGAAAGCTGAGTGATGTGCTCAAGGTTACAGAGCTAGGAAGCAGCAAACAGGTATTTACCTAGTTCTCTATGTTCTAAAGCTTAGTTTCTTTCTTTTCACCTCACCAAGCCTTCTTAACATGCGTTGTGAAATGAACACCTTTGGTAATCTTGTGGAGCTTATGGACCCGTTTTCAAAATACTAATTTGAAAGGCATAAAACAAGGTATAGGAAATGAGTTAGATTGGAAAAGTTAACATATTTAGCAAATTCAGTGATTTAATTTTTATGTTGAGCATTAAATAATGAGAGAATGCATTCAAAATATAGTCAAGTTAAAGTTAAATTTTATTTTTTAAAGCATATGACTATATCCAATGAAGAGTGCTGGGAAAAACAGATAAATATATAGGTAAACATGAAACTTGATTCTTACTTTATGCCAAATGCGAATTAAGTTAAGATAGATCATATACCTAAACATAAAATCTAAAATGATAAAGCTTGTAACAGAAAACACAGGAAAATATTTTTATAGCCTTAGTGTAGACAAAGATTTTTTTTTTTTACATGGGACCCAGGGAGCATTAATCAGAAAGAAAAAGAATGATAAAATGGAGTTCATCAAAAGAAAAGCTTTCTAGTCAAAAAAGACACCATTAAGACACTGAATAATCAAACCACAGAATGAGAAGAAAACATTCACAATACATGTATCTGACAAATGACTTATTTCTAATATGTATGTGTATACATATATATAAAATACCCAAGAATAAAAAGAAAAACACGAATTTCCAATTCCTGTCAAAGGAAACAGCACATTTCATTCTGTTTCTCCCAGTGAATGTAATTTAAAACCTTGGACAGAATGCATAAGACAGCGATCCGAGGATTCTGAAAAGTAAATGGTAAAGTAAAAAGTAGATGGCAGGAATATGGACAAAGGAAACCAGAAATCAAAGAACTGTCAAATCCAGAGTCAGTTTTCCAATTTTTTTCTCTTCGTTTTCTCCCAAGTTGTACTAAAAGGAAGCCTAAAATGCACATATTTTGCACAACAATGTGAATATAGGTAACGCTGCTGAACTGTACACTGTTAAATTACATCGGACTGAAATCTGTCTCCGTACATAATGTGCTGTAATCTAACAATATGTAAACAAACTGTAACCTAATTTGAGAGTATATTTTATTTATTTATTTACTTATTTATTTATATTTATTTATTTTTGAGACGGAGTTTCGCTCTTGTTACCCAGACTGGAGTGCAATGGCGCGATCTCGGCTCACCGCAACCTCCGCCTCCTGGGTTCAGGCAATTCTCCTGCCTCAGCCTCCTGAGTAGCTGGGATTACAGGCACGAGCCACCATGCCCAGCTAATTTTTTGTATTTTTAGTAGAGACGGGGTTTCACCATGTCGACCAGGATGGTCTCGAACTCTCGACCTCGTGATCCACCCGCCTCGGCCTCCCAAAGTGCTGGGATTACAGGCTTGAGCCACCGCGCCCGGCCTATTTATTTACTTTTTGAGATGGAGTCTTGCTCTGTCACCCAGGAGTGCAGTGGCGTGATCTCAGCTCGCTGCAACCTCTGCCTCCCAGGTTCAAGCTATTCTCTTGCCTCAGCTTCCTGAGTAGCTGGGACTATAGGCACACGCCACAACGCCTGGCTAATTTATGTATTTTTAGTAAAGACTGTGTTTCCCCATATTGGCCAGGCTGGTCTCGAACTCCTGACCTCATGATCTGCCAGCCTCCACCTCCCGAGAGTATATTCTTGTAACAAGTAGCTGAGTTTGGGCTAATCCTAGCAGGTAAACTTTTAGCCAGTCACAGGATGTAAACTGCCAAAATATGTCCAAATAAGGCAAATGCCAAACTGTAACCAATCAGGGTTTTTTTGTATGTCACTTCATTTTTCTGTCTATAAATACAGCCTGTCTCCATTGCTAGGTAAAGCTCTCTGAACCTTTAACCTTTACTGGTTTGGGATGCTTCCCAATTCATGCAGCAGCGCAATCTTGCTCACTGCAACCTCTGTCTCCCAGATTCAAGTGATCCTCCCACCACAGCCTCCCAAGTAGCTGGGATTACAAGTGTGCACCACCAAACCTGGCTAATTTTCTGCAAGTCTTTTTTGAAATTTTCCCTGGGCAGGCCCAGTCACTTTCTAATTTGCTCCATATATGTAGTCGTGTGTGTGTGTGTGTGTGTGTGTGTGTGTGTGCGCGCGTGTGTGTGTGTGTTTTAATGTCCCAGTCTTTAATGTCTGGCTTCCAAAAGGAGAAAAGGCAAAAAACAAAAGGGGGGAATAAAAAGGTTACCAGCGCTTTAAATCTCTGGAATTCACATCAGCCAGAGGGCAAGAGGCTTGCAACAGATAGGGGAAGTTGCGACAACAATGGCTTTTCCTGCTTTGTTTATACCTCTCTCATAAGCAGCAGCAATGAGAGATCAGGGCATGGATCCCCCATAATCAGAGGACAAAGTCCTCTTTGCCAACCCTGGCTCCCACAGGATGTTTGCAAGCTGCTCCAGGAACATGTGCACAGCTGTCTGCCATATAGCTGAGTGGTGGTGGATGAGTAGCTGCTGCTGTGGTAAGAGTTGACATAGACTGAAATTAACCACAATTTACCATCCTTGCCTTCCTCTGGATGTTGCAAGCCCCCTTTAGACTTTGGAGTCCCGTAATAGTTACATCAGACAGATTCCACCAGTGCCATTTTTGTCTAGGTCACTTCCTTTGTCTAGGTAGAAAACCAAATTCCTGGTGCTTTCTACTTTACCATCTTCCTAGAATCCTCTCCTCCCAATTTTGACAGTTTGGCTAGTATTCTCATTGTTTTTATGGAAGATTATATTCCAGAGGTCCTTCCTTCGCCTTTCCAAAAAGGGCAATTCCAGAATAACTTTCACAGTGTATTGAGAATTAATATTTTGCGACATTCAGTGAAATGTAGAAACCTTACTGCCTTATAGGCCCCTTCGCCCTCCCCCATTCACGTTGTAGGTGTTGGATGTGTTACATTTACGCACACTGGCAACTTCCCCAGACAATGTTACGCATTTTACTTTTAATCATCAGGTGTATTTGTAAGAACTTAAAA